AAGTTGTATAATTTGTAGGAGGTTCACCATCTGTTAGATTTATCTTTTGGCATTGTAGTATTTGATATCGTTGTGGTGTGCTGTATAATTTTAAAACCTTTTATTTTGTATTTGTTGTCAAATATGTGAAATATGTTAGTTTTGAATGCTATGGATCTGTATAAATAACATCTCAAATTTATTAGGTCTTTTGTTGCAAATTTCATAGGGATTTTACATGCAATGTAATAAATAATATTTTCTGTGGATTAACAGCAACTGCAACCTTATGCTTTTATTTATTTTTTTCTTGCTTTTATTGTAATTAGCTAGGACTCTGGGATACAAGTAAAAGCATAGAGATGATAGATATTCTTCCTTGTTTCCATTATTCTTGGAAAAGATTTCAGCAAGAATTATAATGTTATTGTATTTTCATAGATTCTTTTATCAGATTGAACTGCCATGTTCTATTTGTGGCTTATTAAGAAATTTTATTATGCAGAGGTAAGCGAATTTATCAAACGTTCTTTTTACCGCATTTGAGATAATCTGATATTTTTTCTCTTTATTCTACAAAGATGAATGATATTGACTTTTTTTTTTTTTCAATGCGGAAACTAGCTTTCCTGGGATAAACTTGTTGGCTGCGATGTATTTATCTTCGTGAGAGCATTGACGGTATTTTCTCAAGTTTTGTTAAGATTTCACATCACCATGAGGAATATTGGTCTCTGATTTTTCTTTGTTTAATGTTTTTGTTAGGCTTAATATTTCAGGGTATTATGTTAATCCAAACAAGTTGAGAAAGTATTCCTGCCTCTCTATTTTCTGAAAGAATTGGTATTAGTATTGGTATTATTTTCGTAAATGTTTGATAGAATTAATTCAGAGATATTCCGACTATTCTCTTTTAATATAAGGTTTTTTTTTATTAACAATTTCAATGTATTATTTTGATTTTCATTTTCATCAGTTGCCTTTGATAAGTTGTATTTTTGGATGTGTTTGTCTGGTTATCCAAGGTGTGATATGGATTCTGAAGTTGTTGGCAATTATTCTTTTCCTTTTTTTTTTTGTTAGGTTAGTCTAATTTAAATTTTTGGGTTTATTTATTATGATACTTATCTATTATACTTGACTACTATAAATATTTTATAGCAGTTCTCTTCTTCTATGATGTACATAGTTCAACTTAAAATCACGATATTCTTATTATCCCAATAATGCTCTGTAGGAGTTGTAATGTCTCATTACTACTATTCCTGAAGATGATAATTTGTGTTTTCTATCTTTTTTTCTTCATCAGTCTTGCTAGAGAATTCATCAATTCTATTAATCTATTTTTAAAAAACATTTCACCCTTTAACGCTCATTGTTTGTCCATTTACTAATTCAATTAAATCTCCACTCTTTATTATGTTTCTCTCCCATTTCACCCACAGTTTATCTTGATCTTTTTCTTTATTTCTTAAGTGTGAAATTTAGGAGCATTGATTTTGGAGACGAGTAGCAGCAGCCAAAATTTTCAAACCATGGTAAGATCCCATAAATCAATCTTTAATGGATTATTTCATTATCATCAACAAAGTATTTTCTAATTTCCTTGTGATTTTAGTTGACCTTGTGGACTCTTAGAAGCTCACAGCTGTTTCTATAAACTAAGAGATTTTTCTTACGTCTTGAATACCACAAGACTTTTGTGGGAACCAGTTCTTTGGATCTGTGTGATGCTGTGTGGCCTGTAAAAAGTAAGGTGGACATAATGAATTCTTTTTGCATGGCACGTATCTTTGAAACTTCCTTTTCTTGTGTCTTCTTCGATGTTTGAACTATAAGATATGTTCCATAACATGCCTTAGTATGGAACTCCACCACTAATCACGTTGTTATGAGGTTGTCACATATCCCTGTTACAGTTTATTTTCATTTTTACATAGAAAGATATAAATAATCATTGTTCCCATCTAATACTTCAAGTTTGGGGATAAATCCCCCTTTATGTGGAGTTTTTTAATCCCAGTTTGAAATTATTTCAGCTTCAAATGGATGTCATCACTAAATAATAATCTAATGATTTGATTCAGTCTTAGGACAGCATTTTTATTAACTTTGTTTGCTGTTGCATGTTAAAGTCTCAAGAATTTATCATTCTTGTTATATCCAAAGTCCAGTGAAAAAAAATAGCAAGGCAAGATATACTTAGGGAAACCAAAGAATTTTTTTAAATATATGAAATTTATTGTCAAATTGGTTTCCACAACACCCCAGTGCTCATCCCAAAGGTGCCCTCACACACTCACCTCCATCACCCACCTCCCCTCCTCCACCCCCCCATAAACCTCAGTTTGTTTTCGCTTTGCCGCCTTATGCTTGGCCTCTCTCTCTAACCTCTCTTTTTTTTTTTTCTTCCCTCCCCCATGGGTCTTGTTAAGTTTTCAGGGATCCACATAAAGAGAAAACATATGGTATCTGGGTTCTTTCTCTTGTATGGTTTATTTCACTCTAGTGCATCACACTTCCAGTTCATCCACGCTACACGAAGGGCCATATTTCATTCTTCATTGCCACATAGTATTCCATTGTGTATAAACCATTATCCATTCATCAGTTGATGGACATTTAGGCTCTTCCACGGCACTTGGCTATTGTTGGAGTGCCATAAACATTTTTAGTATGAAAAGTCTCTCATGCATCAGCACTTGTATCCCTTGGGTGATTCTACAGAAGAAGTTATTGCTGGGCTTTCCAGGGTGATTCATTTTTAATGTTTTGAGAAACCCCACAATTATTTTCTCAGGAGCTAGAGCGGCTGCACCAGTGTGCATTCCCACCAACAGTGCAAGAGGAGAACCAAAGCAGTTTTGAAATGCAGTTTCATCCTTCCTTGATGAATCAGCCAGTCCAGCAGATCTTACAGTACCTTAAGAGTCAGCATTATGAAAATTACCTACCATGTACTGTAGATCCACAGAGAGCAGCTCAGTAAAAATTTAGAATGAATAAATGCCAGAAACAAGAATATCCACCGTATGGGGCCTGTGTTCATTTTTAGACGATTGTCATTTTTAAAATGTAGGAGTCTAATCGGATTTATTAGGTGTCATGAGTATCAGGCTGGGAATTGGAGCAGAAAGTGGCTCACCAGAGAAATGTATCTTATTATGACCTGACATAATGGTCAACAAGTTGTTACATTCGCGGTTGTTTGTATAGTAATACAGCCAGGGATTCCCAAGGAAATCAGTTCTTTTTCTTTTCCGTTTCTTCTGTAGCTCTGTCAGACGAACAGAACAAAACCCAGTGGTAAACCAAATGTCTGAATCCGTGAAACAGCTTGATGAAACGCTGTAATAAGATAAATTATGATGTGCCAGATACTTTCTTCTGTACGGTTCTTAAAATCGAAACATACCTAAGGACAGAAAGCCTTTCGGATGTAGCTCTCCAGAGACAATTATTTTCTTTTCGAAACAGCTAGTGTCATTCTGGTACTGATCAGACTGACTTTTCTAGCTTCATATAAACATGTATCCTCCCTGTCCTCTGAGAAATGGTGTCTGTCTTCTTGCCTTCACAGTGGAAGGGACAGCCAACATTACCTGGATGATGTGTTATAGTGGACGGCATGGTTACTTGAAAGCTAGCTTTTAATCCACTGCATTGAGCCTGACCTAATGTAGCATATGCAGGTTGGCACAGAGAGCACAGGCAAGGGACATTAAGAAACGCTGTGCTATAATCTCCCCTACCAGCATTCCCCACAATGGAACTTGTAAAAAACCGTTTGTATGACACACTGATGGTGTTTTCTGCCCTTTTTGTTTGGGAATTTGGACATTGCAGGTTAACTTACAAAGTAGACTGTAACAAGGGCAAGATAAACATATGTAGCGCTATATATTTAGTTAAAATAGTGAGGGATGCCTGGGTGGCTCAGTTGATTAAGTGTCTAACTTTAGCTCAGGTCATAATCTTACAGTTCGTGGGTTAGAGCCCTGTGTCAGGCTCTCCTGACAGCCCAGAGCCTGAAGCCTGCTTCGGATTCTGTGTCTCCCTTTCTCTGCCCTTCCCTCACTTGTGTTTCTCTCTCTCTCTCTCCCTCTCTCTCTCTCTCTCTCTCTGTCTCTCTCTCTCTCTCTCAGAAATAAATAAACATTAAAAAAATTTTTTAAGGGGCGCCTGGGTGGCACAGTCGGTTAAGCATCCGACTTCAGCCAGGTCACGATCTCGCGGTCCGTGAGTTCGAGCCCCGCGTCGGGCTCTGGGCTGATGGCTCAGAGCCTGGAGCCTGTTTCCGATTCTGTGTCTCCCTCTCTCTCTGCCCCTCCCCCGTTCATGCTCTGTCTCTCTCTGTCCCAAAAATAAATAAACGTTGAAAAAAAAAATTAAAAAAAAATTTTTTTTAATAAAATAACAAAACCATTACCATATTTCTTTACCAGGGCTTGGGGGAGATTTGGGGTAGAACTTCAACCCCATTCAGTTAGGCCCAGGTTTGACATTTAGAGGTGACAGTTTGAGAGAGTGATGGTGCCCCTGCCCATGAAGGAAGCAACATCTATAGCATTCAGTGTGATCAGGGACTTGGCCCTTTAATGAAATGTTGAATAGAGGTGAATTCGACTTATTTTATCATGTGGTCAAATTCTAGCCAAATGCTGTGGATATGAGACTGAGATGGGAAAACTCAGGTTCTCCTTCTGATGTCATTGCCCCGGAAGATGTGGTCTTTGCACCGGGTGCATGGAGTTGACCGGACGAGGCGTTTGGGTCCCAGCCAGATTCTTTGGTTAACTGTAGGTTTGTACAAACTTAACCTGGTCATCTCATCTGTAGCGCTAAGGATGATCCGTGGTCATGTTTCACTCTACTTCTTGAGGTTAATAGGATTGTAGGATCAAAGTAAAAAGATGTTACAAAGAGCATATGTTTGTGCTCACACTCTGGACAATTTGTCCAGTATGACCCAGCTTTAACCTTTATAAGACTTTACTCACCTGATTTACTCTTGTTTTCAGGCTACAACTGAGGTGGAAATTAAGAAGAAAGGCCCTGGATCTCTCTTAGTTTCCATGGACCAACTGGCCTCCTATGGACGGAAGGACAGAATCAACAGTATATTGAGTGTTGTTACAAATACACTAGTAGAAGGTATGTGCCCTTGATGTCAGCCCAGACCACCAAGATAAAAATACGTCCTGTGCACGATAAATACAATCCCTGTCCCTTGGCCTGACTTTTGCAAAAATTGACTCTGAACTTTAGGAATAGTCTACTTGTTATAGAAACCAGCATCCCATGTCTGCATGCAGAGAATCAAATAAGGACTTCAAAGCTGCTGCCAGCATTGTATACAGATAGATAAGAAGTATGAAGGAATGACATTTAAGAGTGAGCTAGCAGATCTCAAGAAGAGTGTAGTTGTCACGAGGGGCCAGCAGGGTGATATGAGGCACGAAGGATATAGACTGAAGTGTGAAGATACGAAATAATGGAATCCCCCTCCTGCCCTCTACCCCAAAACATACCTTCCTCTTTTCCTTTTTAGCACCCTACAACCCTTTTGCTTTTCCCTGAAGGACTAATGTACTGTGCATTTTGATTGCACCTAATTCTGCCTCTCATCAAACACCCCCACATACCCATAAATATATTTGATGTGTGAATAGGTAAGCTGAAACCCCTCTTATTCCGGCGCTCTGTGCCACAGGAAAAGAGCAGCCACTGTTGAATCATAGCCTATCTGCAGGAGTGTCGCTGTCAGTGCCTGAACTTCGTATTAGGTGGCTCCTCCGTGACACAGCCTGGCCCGCTGAGGGATGTCAGGATTCTCCATTACACCACAGCCCCCCAGCGGGTGTCCCATCTGTCCGGTTGTGGTCTGTATTCTAGGCTCCCCTTTCTTTCGTCAGACGTAGATTCCATAACTGGGTTTTCTCCTACAAGATTCTGACTGATCCTGCATGAAGCCTCTTCTCTTGATTCATGTTGCTTTAGCTGAGCTGTCCCACTGTAGATCCAGAATATTCTTGAAGCCTCAGACTGCTGTTCTTCAGAGTTCAAACCCCCAGGCTAACCCCACAATACCCAGAGCCCCTCCTTTTGTAAGGAGAGTCAGAATTGTCCTGGGGTCCTTGGAACAAGTTATTTTTTGAGTCATTTAAGCCCAATACCACTTCTACTCAGAGAAAAAGAGTTCAGCAGGGGCGTCTGTGGTAAAGGGAGAACCCCCAGAAAGAAAAACCCTTCGAGTGTTTCCCTTCTCACATGTGAGCAAGGAGTTAGACTATACCTGGACTAATCTTGAGACTGTATCAAGCCAAAAAGAGTATTGAATTAACTATTACCAGCTGCCTCCACACTTCATTTATGTCTGTTTTCTTTAATTCTCATTGAGGTCGTTGTCTGAGAGAGCATCTTTAAACTTTGTGGTTTATACTTTGAGATTATAGGTAAATAACTGCAGAGCATAAGAATTGCAAGCTAAGGGGCTCCTCCTGGGTGGCTCAGTCCGCTAAGCGTCTGACTCTTGATTTCAGCTCAAGTCATGATTTCACACTTCACGAGATCAAGCCCCACGTCAGGCTCTGCACTGACAGCATGGAGCCTGCTTGGGAATCTCTCTCTCTCCCTCCCTCCCCCCCCCCCTCAAAATAAGTAAACTTAAAAAAAAATCCAATCTAAGAAACACTAGCTTAAGAACCTTGGCTAATTTTATTCTTCACTTGGAGACAAGAATGGGATTTCTCTGGGAATCTGTGGAAGTTGAGAAAGACAAATGAACCCCCTCCAACAGGCATATTTTATTGCTGGCAAAGACGTCAGAACAGCAGAACTGTTGCTGTAGAGCAACAATTTTGTAGTTGATTACTACAGTGGCCTAGCGCAGGGTCTAGTCAAGGTCAATGCTTAAGAAATGTTTGTGGGGGGGCCCCTGGGTGGCGCAGTCGGTTAAGCGTCCGACTTCAGCCAGGTCACCATCTCGCGGTCCGTGAGTTCGAGCCCCGCGTCGGGCTCTGGGCTGATGGCTCGGAGCCTGGAGCCTGTTTCCAATTCTGTGTCTCCCTCTCTCTCTGCCCCTCCCCCGTTCATGCTCTCTCATGTCTCTCTCTGTCCCAAAAACAAATAAAAAACGTTGAAAAAAAAAATTTTTTTTAAATAAAAAAAAAAAAAAAAAGAAATGTTTGTGGGGCTGAACCTTGCTGTGCTTGGTCGGTGCTGCGGGCTTCGTGTCAGAGGCCTTGGTGCTTCCATTCCTCTACTGAGTTGGATAGAAACACTGGAGTGGTAGCTCTGCCTTTTTCTTCTCCTTTTTCTCCCTCTTCTCCCTGTGCTCTTCCTTCCCTTCCTGTTCTGCTATACTCATTCTCCACCCTCCACCCACCAGCACACACATGATAAAAAATAGACGCAGGGGTAGCTCAGGGGAGAGAGACAGTCATAGTTGTGTTCCTGAGTAGGAAGCTGTCCCAGCTTTTTCTCCCTTTTCTAAGTCCTAATGCTCACATAGCCTTTCACTGCTCAGACATTCCACTGTCCCCTCCCCTAGTATTCAACTCGCTTTGTTAAAGCCGAGGAGACAGAACTGCTATAAGCAAAGAACAATGAATGGCTGGAACTGAAGAATTTGAGAGGGAGTTGAAGGGCGTTAAGAAACTCCATTCCTATTTCACCGCTGGCCCCTCTGTGTTTAATGATTGCTACAGCATTAAAAGCCAGCGTTGAATGAATAATTGCTCCTGCTTCTCAGACCTTCAGTTCGGAAACTCTGACATTATTTTAATTTTTGGATTACCAAACCAAAGAAGCAGGCTTCTACCTACCGATGGCTTAGAAACCACAGTGGAGCATTCCAGAATCATGTAAATAATGAGAAAACCCTGCCTGCTGTGTGTCACACCTAGCCCGTTGGCAGACATGCTCACGCGGATCCAGTAAAGTCAGCAGAATTCAGTCAGCAGAGCCATCAGCTTGGGGATATTTCAGAGGACTGGGGGTAGGGTGTGGGCAGAGAGCAGTACGGTCTCACTTCTCAAAGCAGCGAGGCTGTGGGAGGCGGGGAGACCGTTGGCGAAGTAAGAATGAAGACGTGATGATAGTTGGCATTCTTGGTTCTCAGGTAAAACAGGTTCAGAAACTCCTTATAGAGGCAACTGGCCATAGCTGTTGCTGCCATGATTCGTTGATTCACTCTTTTGTTCAACTGACAGGCAGCATCCATACGATTGCTTATTTGCTATCCGCCTTTCCTGGTGTGGCTGTAAGCTCTGTGAGGACGGGGGCTCTTGTTCACCAGCAAATTCCCAGTGCCTCTTACACTGTAGGTGCCGAAACATTGTTGAATTGGACTGAGAGAAGCCCTGCCTTCAGAAACCTCACAGTCTGCTAACCCCACCATCTTGGTGGAATTGCGAGGCCCTCTCTGAAAACACCTCCCAGTGCGCCTGAGGTTGAGACTACGGTAACCCCTCTGAAAATGTACAGCAGCAAAGTACGGGGAACCCCACAAACCTTTGGCTATCTCATCTTCCCCCAGACCAGATTCTTGGCCATGTCGGGCACGTGGGGCCAGTAACAGTTTACAAGGTTGCACGTCACTCTTTAAACCTTTACGTTCACCTACCTGATCTTTTCTAGCTCGTAAAGTTCCACGTTGTCTTACTGTTTGTGGAACGGAAAAGATCATCCTGAGATCTTACCTGAGACAATGTGGATATGATCCCTAGTATCCCTGTAGGAATCTCCTTCGTGCCCCGTAGGGTAGGGAAACCCCTCTTCAGTATCTGGCAAAGACTGGGAGCCTAGTGCACTCTACAACAGTACAATTGTATCTCCTGTCAGAAACGTGAACAGTCGCTGCCTCAACCTCCACGTGACAGTGAACAGCAGACATTTGGAGAAGGGAGGAGATTAAAAAAAGGAACGGAACCAAATTTCCAAATATGTCCTATAAGAATTTATGGAAATAAGAGAACCTTTTCATTTTCTTTTTTTGGTTAGAAAACTAAATTTACCTTGGGAAGGGAGGGAGTTCTATGAGGAAGAAGCCAAAGCAAATTTTCTTCACAGACTTCCTTTCCCACGCAGACTCCCACGTGGCGCTTACTGTGGCCCTTAAATCTGAAAAACCAAGGCAACCATTTTCTTAGCAACCAGGGAGCCAATCAAAAACCCAACCCAAGCACCCCATCTGAAATAAAGCCATCACCATGGGTACCATCCAGCTGGTTGGCAAAAGGGAAAGTAGACTAATTTCAGGCAGCCATCTTGTTCTTGGTGAAATGTTGGGAAACTTTTATTCATTCCCTGAGTGATTCGATTTGGTCAGCAGAATTGCGTTGGGGTGTGGGATGGATGCGGTTATATCCAACCCGTGGAACCAAGACCTGGCCTCTAAGCATTATCATGCTGATGGGTTTTCAAAACTACATCTCTTAAAGAACATCCTCCTAGATCAAGGTCCTTGGGCTATTGTAATCCAAGCTGTTCTAATTCCTACTTAACTTGAGGAGGGCTTTGTTACCCAGGGCCTCCTGCCTAGACTGTTGTGGCTGCCAGCCGAATGGCTCTCTGCCTTTATGTCTAATGGTCCTTTTTCATCTTCATTTTGTGATGACCCTAGAGGTCATCTTGGTCCGGTGATATTCCATCCGTGTCTATCAGAGTCCCAGGATCCTGGGGAAGTGCCTCAGGGAAGGAAGAAGTCCATCGGGCTGAGCTTCAACTAGAGGAGTTCCTGGTTTATCTGTGTCATATATTGGGGGCCACATAAGATCTTGTTTGAGACCAACCAGTTCTGTTTCTAAAAGAGAAAGAAGACAAGAAAAAAGAAAGGGGAAAGAGATGGAGGAAGGAAGGACGAAAACAGAGAAGGGAATGATGAGGGTGAGAAAGGACAAAAGGGCCAGTGAGAAGGAGAAAAGAAGAGAGGGGGGACGAGAGAGAGGAAGGGAGGGAAGTGGGGAAAGGAGTGAGAATCCCATGCCCAACTCGGTCGTGAATTGTGAACTCATTGACTTGCACTTCTGCGGGAACGTAAGAGACACACTGCACATAGTAGCCCGGCGGCCAGTGCTGCTTCTTTTCTGCTGCGAAGATAATAATAATAGCAAATGCTTCTCACTGTATGCCAGGGTGTTCCAAGGCACTTTATATATATATCTTAGCTCATTTAATTCAGCAGATTGAAGTAATGTACTCAGGTTCCCACAGTTAGCAGTGTCTGAGCTGGTATTTGCACCCAGGTATGTCTGGTTTCAGAGTCTATGCTTTTGATTGCTTCTCTGATAATAATTTAGTGGTACAACGTATAGTGTAATACCTGCCATTTATTGAGGACTTGCCTTGTGCCAGGCACTGTGCTGCCTGCTTTACGTCCATCAAATCATGCAGTCAGTAGATGAGGATTACAGGACTCGTGTCGTCCTATAGCCTGTATAGTAAGTGTCATTTCAGATGAGGCAACAGAAGAACAGAGGAATCGGTAACTTGCCTGACATCACACGTTGTGAGTGTTGAAGCCAGTTGGACCAGGGAGTCAGACTCCAAAGGCCAAGCCCCTAACCAGAATGCTGTGCTCCCCAAATGGATGGATCACACTCTAATTTACAGCTAGATGTTGTTAACAACGAAATGACCCGGTATTTCCCATGCCTCCTCTTTGCCTTCAAGAGAAATGAAATGGAAGCGGGAGGACCGCACAGTTAGGACAGTCAGCACTCAAACCATCTTTCTTCTCGTGGTTCATAGCAGCGATTACCTTAATGACTCAGTGAGGAGGAGGAGTGGCTCTTTGAAACCCTCTTTGTTTTCTCACCGTGATCGAGGGCCGCCTTTGTTCTTTACTCACTACAGAACTGGAAGAGTCTCAGAGAAAGTGCCCACCGTGCTGGTATAAATTCGCCAATACTTTCCTCATCTGGGAGTGCCACCCCTACTGGATAAAACTGAAAGAGATTGTGAACTTGATCGTTATGGACCCTTTTGTGGACTTGGCCATCACCATCTGCATTGTCCTGAATACCCTGTTTATGGCAATGGAGCATCATCCTATGACACCGCAATTTGAACACGTCTTGGCTGTAGGAAACCTGGTAAGATGGAACATTCTCTCCTGATTTTATGATCTGAACATGTTTTGCCTGTAGGACATCTTTTTCTGATACTGGAAGCTGGAGCTTAGTTGAAAAGAAAGTAATAGTTAATTGGAAGACAAATGCTTCCACATATGGCGCAGCCCCAGCCACTTCTGCTCACTGTTGTGATCCCGTGGCTGTTTCCTCTTTCTGCAGAACTTTCAAGACGTCATTTAGGAGCTGTTGGCAGAAACCCAGGCATGGTGACAGAATGGGAGGCATGGTGCAGTGGGTTGGTTTTGGCAACCTGAGCCAAGGACTTGGGGAGTTTTTTTCTCATTCCCTTTCTCACATTGCTGCCTGCAGTGTTCCCGCACACCATTTCCCCTTTCACCTTCAGTAGCAGGCGCCACAAAGTATAGGGGAGCTCTTTTGGTGCATTAAACGTAACTATAAATTTGCCTGCACGGTCATACCTTAATTATCCATATGGGGCCCATCTCGGGGAAACTTTTAATTCCAGGCTGGTTTTCCCCTCCTGCCCAACTTCTGGGCTCTAGTCCAGTTTCTACCGTTAGTTGATCTGTGCCAGATTTACTTTCATGTTAGCTTAAGTCATATATTTAACTTATTACATTATTTAGAAGATAAGAATGAGTTGGTTGTTTTTTGTTTTTTGTTTTTTAATAGGTGACACAGTGTATTCCAAAGTCAAATAGTTGTGATTTGGGGATTGTCTGTTTTATTTCTTTAGTCCAAAAATCAGGAGTTGATTGAATTTTGATAGATGGGAAAGAATTAGTTGGAAAGGATCCTCTAGATCTCCTGGGCTTCATTATTCCTTAGGAGTTTCACCACAAGCAAGTCAAATCTAATTGTTGCCATTTAACTTGAGTACGATCTCTGCCTGATGTCTGTCTGTCTGTGTCTCTCTCTGTCTCTCTGTCTCTCTGTCTCTCTCTCTCTCTCACACACACACACACACACACACACACACACACACACACAGTTTTTACATTAAGTCCAAATAAGCTATTAAAGTGTTATAAAATCATTTTGAGTTCTGATGATGAAAACACATGTGACAAAGGAGACCCTTTATCTGGTTAGTCCTTGCAGCCCATCATGTTCCCTGGTACACATCCAAGATAATTCTGTGGTCTTTCCACTCTGCATGTCTGAGTCAGGGATCCTTGCATCAGGCTCTGCACTGGGCGTAGAGCCTGCTTAGGATTCTCTCTCTCTCCTCTCTCTCTCTGTCTCTCTCTCAAAATAAATAATAAAAGCAAATAAAATTTAAAAAATAAAAAAAAGTAATTCTTCATACCTCAAATAGTTACAATTTATTTTTACCCAAACCCCAAATATTGGCAGTACACTAGGTTGAAATAACATGCTTGCCGACCTCTGTCACGGGCATTTCCCCCAGGCCTCTGGATGCCATTCGTCCCATTGAAAGGCAGCAATGTGTCATTGTTGATTTTCTCTTAGGAACCAGAGTTCCCACAGTATAAATATTGCATGGTCAGTTAGCCAGTGCTTACTGTTGAGCATTTCCCGTGTGTTCACCAGAACCAGTGGTGAATTCAGTCTCTATTTAGCGTGTGAAGCAGGCTACCATTTCTATGTAGAGAAACCTTCCATGGGTTTATGCCGAGGGTAAAACGTAATCAGGGATCGATTAGCTGCCCTCACTTAGAGTGATGTTCCCTCTGTAGATACTTAGCGCGCACTGTGAACTTTGATTTTTGCTTCGCTGGATCTCTTCAGGGAAGATTCTCTTTCAGTTTTAGAATACCGCATCTTCAATTTAGAAAAGCGGGGAACCATGGAAAAGTACAGGGACGTAAAACCTTGCGGGCCATGCATCCATTTTGATTTCTGTCACGCCATTCTGTTTTGTTATTGCTATACATTCATTGAGTCTCTTTCCCAACAGCATCTGTAATCTAAGTATTTTTCACTATTTTCAATTCTGTCTTCAGACTACATCTTCAAAGTTTTCCTTAAACTCCTTCGTTTGTAAAATTGGTAACCAGGTAGTTGCAAGGACTAAAATATTACGAGTTTAAAACCCATTACGTTAAAGTCCTCCTCTAAAATCATAATATTCCGTAAGAGTGGGGTGTTACATGGTTAGCTTAGAATGAGGGTACAGCTCTTGTCGAGACTGGCATTCATGGGATTTTACTTTCTTACCACGTGTGATGTTATTAAGTCCTGTGGGAGGCCGAAGGCACTGGGAAACACAGGGTGCTCTGGAGGGTAGAAAAGTGGGAGTCAGGTAACTCAGGGAACAAGTCGTTCTCGTACCCAGTAAGCTCTCAATCCAGTTATTACGTCATTGATTATCACATTTAAAAAATCAAAAGGAAGCGCGAAACTGTCCGGCAAGGATATATTCCTTGAGGATACATTCACCCAATAGAATTTTATGCAACTTCGTAGCAACATGGACTGAGTTGTGGTAAGTGAAAAACAAGACCCAAGGTATTATGTACTCTACGATTTTGCAATTCTGTCAAAATATACACACATTGGGGGAAAAAAAAAACAAACAGAAAGGGAATACATAAAACTGATAGTTGTGTGCAAGATGGAGACTCTGGTTTTTTTCTGTATTTTGCACACTTGTGACAATGTTCTGTTGCTTTTACAATTTAAAATAAGAAACCCTGCAGCGTGTGTCTAAGTTTGATAAGACACATAATATCAAATCAGGGATACTGTATTTTTTAATATAATTATAACTCAATTAATGATTTTTTTTTAAGGCAAATGTCCCAAGCACAAACATTCAAAATGACTGCTGACCCTTTAGAAGGAGTCCCCTATGTGGTATTCCTATTACTTAAAATCATTTTGTTTTTTTAATGTTTATTTATTTTTGAGAGAGAGAGAGAGACAGAGTGCGAGCGGGAGAGGGACAGAAAGAGAGGGAGACACAGAATCTGAAGCAGGCTCCAGGCTCCAAGCTGTCAGCACAGAGCCCGATGTGGGGCTTGAACTCACAAACTGTGAGATCGTGACCTGTGCTGAAGTTGGACCCTTAACTGACTGAGCCACCCAGGCACCCCTGCTTAAAATCGTTTTTTAAATGCATTCTTGTACAGTGTAATTTGGGTGGTTCTAGCAATGACGATGTAAACATTGGGACTGAGTGCTTGATTCACGAGGGAGACAAGACTATCCTTTATCGTGTGGTATAGCCCTGGGACATTGAAGGATTGGTGTCCTCAGATGCACAATTTAGTAAGGCTGGGTCTTGAGGCTTCTTGGACATGTATTCAAAGATAATGATAAAGGCATTCTCTTTCTATTATTTCTTTTTCTTACCCCCTGCCTTCCCCCCTTTAGGTTTTCACTGGAATTTTCACAGCGGAAATGTTCCTGAAGCTCATAGCCATGGATCCCTACTATTATTTCCAAGAAGGTTGGAACATTTTTGACGGATTTATTGTGTCCCTCAGTTTAATGGAACTGAGTCTAGCAGACGTGGAGGGGCTCTCGGTGCTGCGATCTTTCCGATTGGTATTCCATGTTTCTCCAACTTCTTTTTACATTTCCTGTCTTGAACCTACTAAAAAAATTTTGCACAAGTTAGTCTGATGATTAAAAGAATCCTTAGCTATATTCCGCTCACAATTCCAGTTGGTGATTTATTGGCTTAGATACTAAAATCTTGAAAATTTTTCTGCTAAACGCCTAATATAGAAGTTAGTTTTTAATTTCAATTAACAAACAGAAATCCATTTTAGGAAGTTCCTCAGAAAATAATGGTTAATCTGACAGATGAAAAAGAAAGACTCTCAAGGACTATTCTGAGGTCTAAGTTGGATTTGGTAATAAATCTGTTTCTTCGTCTGAACTCTCCCCGAAATGGCAAGGATTTCTCCTTGTTCAGAGATGTGTCTCATTTCTTCTATCATGGTGACCCCTTCCAGAAAATGAGAATGAAATAATAACTTTTAAAACTATATTGAAATTAATGGTTGAACATTCAGGTTTTTTCCTTAACACTAGCTGAGAAAGATTCTGTAATATGTTTGAAGAAGTTAATGTTAAAATTACTAAAATGACTCTGACAGAATAGTTAATGATGTCCTCAAAAGAGCTTCCCATAAGCATAGGCATAAGTGATGTCCTGATTAAGTCCCTTAAGAAGCTGAGTTACTTTGAGGGTATCCCACTCAAATAAAGCATCAGAACTGGGGGGCTTAGGTTTTTCTCTTCCCATTGGAAAAAATTACCTAAGCACCTGTAACTGAAAGGATTTCAGGTTTTTTCATCAGGATACTCAGCATATTTAAGAAGGAAGATTGGAATAAAATGGAACTATTTTTTTTTAATTTTTTTTTTCAACGTTTATTTATTTTTTGGGGGACAGAGAGAGACAGAGCATGAACGGGGGAGGGGCAGAGAGAGAGGGAGACACAGAATCGGAAACAGGCTCCAGGCTCTGAGCCATCAGCCCAGAGCCTGACGCGGGGCTCGAACTCACGGACTGCGAGATCGTGACCTGGCTGAAGTCGGACGCTTAACCGACTGCGCCACCCAGGCGCCCCTAAAATGGAACTATTTATAAAACAGAGGTCTCACTCAGTCCAGGTCACACATAGCATCTGCCCGGTCTCTGGAACCTCTGCTTACTAGTCTGTGGTTAGGATCCAGCCCACAGTAGACTTTTTGAAAATAGTTCTTATAATCTGGAATATGAGATGAAGGAATAAGAGTTAGAAGCCACCTTAGCACTAATATTCCTAATAATTAAAAAGCCAGTCAGAAAGGGAAAAAATGTGAATGACCCAGATAGTCACACAGAGAAACACCTGGTAGCTCTTGAGCTCTCAGATAAGACTCAAGCTTTGAAAGGAAAAAAAAAAAAAATGTTCCAATCAGCACAGTTGCCTTCTACCAGAATTCCTCTTATCTCATGTGTTAGTCATTAACTCATGATGTCTGGAAATGATCTCATTATTATCATTTCATTCATGGCCTTTCTTCATTATACTTCTCAGACTATTAGCTAAGACTTGTAAATCATTCCTTATAAAACACAGAAACTTCATGATTGCAGATAACAGAAGTTCTGTCCTCTGAATTAATATCATTAGAGTCCGTTCTCATAAGATGTTTGATATATGTGGAACTGCCCCTAGTCGGGTGTTGTGCTTTTCCTCCAAATTATTCCAAGTATATCACAAAGTTTCATATCAGCCATTGGTTATTTGTTATTTTTTGGCAGACAAAAAGAGAGATTTTAGAATTTTTAAATACGTGTTTTTTAAAAAGAGACAGATGACTTATTTCCACTGTGCCTACTATTTTGATCTTTTGCTTCACTAAAAATCACATTTTCCTTGATATGTTCCTTGAGAAGTCAAGGCAAAATCAGTAGGAAAAGGATATGTTCATGTATGGGTTTTTAAAAAGTGGACTGACCCAGGGACCAATACAGGGGGCTAGAGGCAGTATTCTTGGTTCCTAGCTCTAAATCTTTCACTTACTCTGAAGTTCATCCGTTTTCCCCATCTATGCCTCATGTTCTCCCACTGTAGTCTAAAACAGAAAGTCCTGGGAACTTCCCAAGGGTGCTCAATAAATTGAAACTGATCTTACTGACGTTATATGTTCTTATTTTAGCCATGTGGTAAGAAAATGGATTCAGTATCATCTGATTTTTGTTTGGGTTCTTTCCCCCTTAGCTCCGAGTGTTCAAACTGGCCAAATCCTGGCCCACCCTGAACATGCTGATCAAGATCATTGGAAATTCAGTGGGTGCCCTGGGCAACCTGACCCTGGTGCTGGCCATCATTGTCTTCATCTTCGCCGTGGTGGGGATGCAACTGTTTGGAAAGAGCTACAAAGAGTGTGTCTGCAAGATCAACCAGGACTGTCAGCTCCCTCGCTGGCACATGAATGACTTTTTCCATTCCTTCCTCATTGTCTTTCGAGTGTTGTGCGGGGAGTGGATCGAGACCATGTGGGACTGCATGGAAGTGGCAGGCCAGGCCATGTGCCTGATTGTCTTCATGATGGTCATGGTTATTGGCAACTTGGTGGTTAGTACTAACTTGTAGAATTTTTCGTTTTTTGCCCCGAGCATCTTACGCCAGTGGGCTTGGTCCTACTACGTTCCATATCTGTGCTAGTTTTTATTCTTTCTTGGCCCAAGAACCCTAAGGTGCAAATGAAGGGAAAGGAGACTGCTCCTGAGTCATAAGCCCCACAACCTGTCAACCCTTTTTCATAGTTGTGGAAACCAAACTCAGCAAAGTTAAGTGACTTTTCCAAAGTCACACAACTGGTAAATGTCAGGGCTTGTATTAGATCCTAGACTACAAAGTCTTTGCTCTTTCTACTACAAAAGTTTCCCTCACTTAAATTAGAATTTCTCAGCTTGACACTGTTGACACTTTGGGTTAGATCATTCTTTGTTGTGGGATTGTCCCATAGATTGTCGATGTTTAGCGGCATCCCTGACCTCTACCTTCCACCGGCCCGTAGCGCCCCACAGCCTAAGCGGTGACAACCAAAAATGTCTCCAGACATTGCCAGCTGTCCCCTTGGAGGCAAAATTACCCTCCCCTGTAAACCACTGATCTAAAACAACTGAGGGTTTTATCTCACTTGTATAAATGGCAAGTCACGTTTTTGCCTTATTCTGATCTGTCTGCTGTCTTTTGCCTCTGTATATAGAATATTCACCAACAGAGATTTTGACACCATCTTTCTCCAAGAATGATCTGAGGACTAGCCGCAGTGAGATCACTTTAGAGTATGTTAGAAATGCAGACGCTTAGGCCCCACCCCAGAACTACTGAATCAGAATCTGCATTTCTAACAAGTGATTTCCCCAGGTGATTCACCTGCTCACTAAAGTTTAAGAAGTACTGATCTTGCAGATCAGGCCCAATCCCACTGGCGAGTATAGAGCGAGAGGGACCGAAAGAAGGCAGACCCGCATGATCCCCCGTCGGCTCATCCAGAGCAGCTCTCCCTTCTTGTGCCACAGAGAAGCGTGCCAGTAGAGGCTTCCCGCTCAGCAGCCTCTGAACCAGCCGTGCCACCCTATTCCCTCCTATGACATGTGACAGCGGACACCATGGTGTGTCTGTAATCCCTCCCTTTCCTCACTCCCGACCACCTTTCCCTCAGTCCTGCTCCCTCTGGCCTTCCCACTCCTTCAGTGAACTCAGCTGTTGCCTCCTGATCCATAGTGGAATCCACATTTGTCAGTGCTGACCTCGCTGCCCTTTCTCCCTCCTCCTATTCTCAGTTGTCTCAACACCATCTCCCCGTGACTCTCTACAGATACCTGAGCACATGACCAAATCCAGTATTATTTCTGCTTCTGATGACACCTTTCCAGGTTCCCCTTTGCTCAGGCCTTCTGCCCACCTAGTCTCTAGGAATCTATAACTGTAAGTCTCTTCTGACTCTCTTCTCTCCCTTCCCAGTAATTATCTGATGCCTTTCATACATCTCTCTTCCTGGTATTTCCAAGATCTGACCCATCCTTTCCATTCCATTCCTGTAGCCCGTTCAATATTTCTAAAAGTCTGAAGATCACAGCCACCCAGGTTTCACTCATTAAAAAAGACTTGAGTCCCAGGCCCTACACCAGATCTCCTGAATCAGAATCTTTCAGGCGAGGCCAAGGAAATAGTATTTTTTCATGCATCCCACCCCAGGAGATTTTCATGCGTGCTAAGGTTTGAGATTACGATAGCCTAATCCAGACCCTTATTAACTCATACAAGTGACACTCTAACGCCTGGTCCATCCCCACCCCCACTCCCATATGTTGCTGGTAGGAATGGTTTGCTCAGATTTCTGTCATTTTTATTCCTTTACTCAAAGACCAGTAGGGGATCCAGTTAAATAAAATTCAGATCCCTCAGGCTGGCCTTCAAAGCCCCCTCCAAATCACCCCCATTTTACCAACCATATTCCTTTGTAATTCTACAAATGGCCCAAATAATTTGCATACACATAATTCATTTATTGTTTCCATCCCTCCCACTCTACACGTATTGTCATCTCCACCTAAAATGTATGCCTTACTCTTCTTCAGAAGTATGACAGAGTAAGGGCCAAGTCTAAATCAAGAAGTGAACACCTCTCCCAATATTTAAAGTAAGTCTTAATAAAAATAAATTAATTAATCTTAATATCCAGTGTGGTAAAATAGGATATTCAAACACAAATAAAAGCTTGCATCTGAGGGCTGGACACTTAGATATCCAACAGAATGCAAAAGTCACCATCACTGTCTTATTAAAGTATTTTATTTTGATAAATGTTAGGAAACTAAGCTAGGCTCTCCAAACCTAGCTGTTTTTCTAATGTGGGTTCTGCAGGTGAATACATAGCATCTGTGCCCTCCTTGATTCTCCCAATAAGCCATGTCCATTTTTTTTCTTCTGTTTGGGGGAATTTTCTTCCAAAATGGGTACAGCTTTTGCTTTTTCTGATTATAAGAAAAGTCTTATATTTGGGGGTACATAGGTATGTATGTAAAACTATAAAAGAACCAAGAGAAGAGGTGCTAAACTTGCATTACAATCAAAACGAAACAAACTGCCCACTTGGTGGAAAAGAGTATGGAGGGTCCTCAAAAAATTAAAAATAGATCTACCATATGATCCAGTAATTCTACTGCTGGGTATTTACCCAAAGAAAACAAAAACACTAATTAGAAAAGATACCTTCACCCCTATGTTTATTGCAGCATTATTTACAATAGTCAAGATACAGAAATAACCCAAGTATCCATCCATAGATGAATGGATAAAGATGTCGTATTTGTATACAATGGAATATTACTCAGCCGTAAAAAGAGAATGAAATCTTGCCATTTGCAACAACATGGATGGAGCCAGAGAGGATTATGCTAAACGAAACAAGTCAGAGAAAGATAAATACCATTTAATTTCACTCATAGGTGGAATTTAAGAGACAAAACAAATGAACAGACGAGAAAACACAACAGGCTCTTAAATAGAGACAACTATTGCCGGCAGGGAGGTGGGGGGAATGGGTGAAATAAAGAGGATTGAGGGTACGCTTATTGTGATGAGCACTGAGTAACGTGTAGAATTGTTGAATAGTACACCTGCAACTAATATAATACTATGTTAATTACACTTCGGTAAAAAAACTTTTTTAAATGCCCACTTAGTTGACATGAGCGTTTAAAACAGTAAGTGGGTCAAGCCGAACACAACAGAAACTCTTTGTGCCTGTCACATGAGTCTGTGGGCTTCCAGTCTGTAATCCTAGTCTAGTAGATAACTTTACCTAATACCATCTGCATTCACTCTCCTTTTCCCTAATGCCACTGGTACAGGTGCTGAACCTGTTTCTGGCCTTGCTCCTGAGCTCCTTCAGCGCAGACAATCTGGCAGCCACAGACGACGACGGGGAAATGAACAACCTACAGATCTCAGTAATCCGGATCAAGAAGGGGGTGGCTTGGGCCAAACTCAAAGTGCACGCCTTCATGCAGGCCCACTTTAAGCAGCGTGAGGCCGATGAAGTGAAGCCCCTGGACGAGCTGTATGAAAAGAAGGCCAACTGCATCGCCAACCACACCGGTGCAGACATCCACCGGAATGGTGACTTCCAGAAGAATGGCAATGGCACAACCAGTGGCATTGGCAGCAGTGTGGAGAAGTATATCATTGATGAGGACCACATGTCCTTCATCAACAATCCCAACTTGACTGTGCGGGTGCCCATTGCTGTGGGCGAGTCTGATTTTGAGAACCTCAACACAGAGGATGTGAGCAGCGAGTCGGATCCTGAAGGCAGCAAAGATGTAAGGTCCCAGCCTAAAACCCAACCTTGACTCCGTGTGAGAACCAGCAGGGTTCTGTCAGCTCCCAGGACTGGCTTGGATGTGGGCTTGGGAGAGAGATTGTGGAATGGCCAAATAGGTTTGAGAACCAACCCTAATGCCCGGTGTCATTCGAGTCCTTCCCTAAGTGACCTAGGTCCCTGAGATGCTCCTAGATCTGTCTCCATTGCTGCTGGATCATCTCGGTCAGTGGCTGGAGCAAACCCTGGAGGACGTCCCTGCCATTAATCTGAGCTGTAGCACTGAGACCAACCAATAGTCACATTTTGTTGAGGGCAGATCACTGTAATTTGTGAGCGGCTTTAATGTTCTACCCAATCCTGACAGAAGTTTTGAGGGCCATCTGGTAATTGTGTGCCCCCCGTGAGCGGGATGATGCAGAGTCTGTAGTAAGAATTGGGAAGAATTCCAGCTGGTTCAGTCTGGAGCAGTCAGTGTGGAGTGGAAGCATCGCTGCAGCGTTCTCCAGCTCTCTTTCCTTTGCAAATCTAGAAACTGGATGATACCAGCTCCTCTGAAGGAAGCACCATCGATATCAAACCTGAAGTAGAAGAAGTCCCAGTGGAACAGCCCGAGGAATACTTGGATCCAGACGCCTGCTTCACAGAAGGTGAAAGGGGGCAAGGGCAGCGGTGGGCATGTGGCACTTCGTGCTGGTCCCAGATTTCTGCCAGGGTCGGTGGTTGGGTAAGGGTGGGGACTCTGTGGCCATTTTCAAGAACTTTGTTCCCCGCTTCATCATCTTGAGGGAGGTTGAGATTGTTTCCCTTGATTCTTACCTATTCTCAAGTTTCTGTTCTCAAGCACTGAATTGTCCATTTTCTCTCGGCACCAGCCCAAAAACTTCCATTAGAAAGGTATGTTCCGTCACGGCTGTGCGTGCCTCCTGATTCCCCTTTTCTCCTCCTCCTCACTGCTTCTTTATAGGACATCTTCCCAACTCCAGAGGGCCCTGCCCTGCTAGCCTTGCGGCATAGCCCCAGCCCTGCCACCCTCCATGTCTGAATCAGACATTCTGGTTCAGCCCCAGTACTCCCAGCTGTGTGGTAGGGGCCTGGGAGACCGAGCAGGGGGGCAGGTCTGGGCGGGGCTCGCTCCCACGGTCTGACCCACCTCTCCCGCTGGTGCCAGGTTGCGTCCAACGATTCAAATGCTGCCAGGTCAACATCGAAGAGGGGCTGGGCAAGTCTTGGTGGATCCTGCGGAAAACCTGCTTTCTCATTGTGGAGCACAACTGGTTTGAGACCTTCATCATCTTCATGATTCTGCTCAGCAGTGGTGCCCTGGTGAGTCCATGGGGGGAAGGCAGGGAGGGACGGGCTGGGGAAGGCTTCGTAGGGACTAGCGGACCAGACCGGAGGGGGCCCAGGCCCGGTTCCTCTGGGAGCACCGACAGCTGTGGCCCCAAGGATAAGGGTCTGCCAGAGTGCTTTGGGCTGGTGTTTTGAGCCGTTGGGATTAGAATTCACTTGTCCACGTCTTCATCTTCTTTACACTCCGCACGATCCCTCTCACATCTAAGGCCCCCTCTCTATCAGGATGAGAGCACAAACTGCCAAGTATCTTCACTGCTTCGTTTGCCCCATTCTGAGCGGCTTCCTAAAATTGAACTTCCCCTTTTCACCTTACACCCCAACTATCTTGTTCTTGACTTTCCAGTCGCCCGTCTTCCCTCACACCCAGCTGGATCTGGAGAACCCTGGCATTAGCAAATACCTGAAGGAGCCAGGTCTCTGGTATAAAGGATATTTATATTCCCGTCGCTGTAAGTGCTCATCATTAATCCGGGACACACACAGGTTCCTCCCCTGCTGGAACTAATTATCTTGGCCTTTGCTTTCATTTTAGCTGGATTATAACTGTGGAGACCTGGACAGGGTCCGGTGTGAGAGAGCCATTTCCCAGTTGGGTAGATTTGAGGACAGTAAGGACTTAGAGACGCTACACATTTTCCTTCTTTGAGTTAAGGGAAAGCTGAAAAATATAGAACTTTGAAGTGCTTTGAAAGAAGGCAGGCACAGGGCACCTGGGTGGCTCAGTCAGTTAAGCGTCCAACTTCGGCTCAGGTCATGATCTCACGGTTCGTGAGTTTGAGCCCCGCGTCGGGCCCTGTGCTGCCAGTGCAGAGCCTGCTTGAGATTCTCTCTCCCTCGCTCTCTGCCCCTCCCCCTACCTCTCTTTCTCTCTCTCAAAATAAACTGGAAGAAAAAAAAAAAAAAAACATAGCAAAGTGAAGCCACAGCTAAAATGTCTGAGAAAAGACAAGAATGGGGTTAAAGTGGGACTTCAGAGGGAGGGCCTAGAGCCTCCAGTGACAGGAAGCTCTCAGTCTTGTACATCTCTCGTGTACTGGGTGACAGAACGGATCTCTGCACAGGGAGGTGAGGGGGACGTTGACACGGAAGCCTTTGAGGTTTTCATAGAGCAGACGGGGTCTATTTGTACCCAGACCCTGAAAAGGACTTTGGGCCCCTGACCACTGCCCCCACTGCCCCGTAAAGAAACTGGAATATCTGATGTCCTTGTGCCTCCATGTTAGAAATGTATCTGCAGGCAGCCCAATTCTGTCCTTCCTTCCAGAACTGTCTGGAGCGGGACCTCCCGTTGCACGACACGGGACTTTTGTGCCACTTGTAGCTTTCTCTCGTGCTTCAGGACTCCCTCTTCCCCCTCTCCGCAGCCCACCACCCCACTCGTGGGAATGCTCATACCTCCATGTCAGGGAATTCCCTCGTTCAGGGACTCCAGGGAGAAAGATTTTCTTCGCCTGGGCGTCTCCCAGCCCTGTGACCTTCCCCCTGTATCGGTGGCATCCAGGGCTGAAAGGAGAAAAGATTTTGTCATACAGACAGAGAGAGCATTGGCAAGGACACAGAGAAGCCGGAACCCGCATACGCTGCCCAAGGAAACCTAGAACGGCGCGGCCACTCTGGAAAGCTGGTTGGCAGTCCCTCAAAACCTGACACCTCCGGTCCCCTGTCAGCCGGAAGTTCCACACCTGGGCCTTGTACCCTAGAGAAACGAAGACAGGTCCACATAAAAACTTAACGCATGCACGTTCACAGCAGCACAACGCACAATAGCCAGAAAGCAGACACATGGCGTCCCTCGGTGATGAGGGTAGACAAAGCACGATAGAGCCACACCATGGGGTATTCTCCATCCACGACAAGAATTGCAGTCGTGATGCCTGCTGCAGCGCGGAGGACCTTGGAGGCCGCTGCGCGTGGCGTAAGAAGCCTGTCACCGAGGGCCACATATCGTATGACTCCGTCCATGTGAAGTGTCTGGAATGGGCAGATCTGAAGAGAGAAGGTAGCCTAGTGGCTGCTTGGACTAGCGGGAGACAGGGAGGCTAGAAGGTGGCGGCGGGAGGGTGTGGGGTTTCTTTTAAGAAGCCCCGTGTGGCCGGGCAGTGGGGCGAGAGAGACAGGAAGGCGATGACGAGGACGACAGGCCGGCCTCAGGCGGAGGAGCTGCCGGGGCAGTGGGGGGACTTCCGGTGTCACGTGCAGCCTTCAGGCACGTCGGGCAGCTGCTGCTTCTCTTTCAGGCCTTCGAGGACATCTACATTGAGCAGAGAAAGACCATCCGTACCATCCTGGAGTATGCCGACAAAGTCTTCACCTACATCTTCATCCTGGAGATGTTGCTCAAGTGGACGGCCTACGGCTTCGTCAAGTTCTTCACCAACGCCTGGTGCTGGCTGGACTTCCTCATCGTGGCTGTACGTGTCCTGCTTTCTACTTCCCACCCCTCCCAGCAGGAAAACAAAAACAGGGATGCCCCACCCTCCAATGGCCACGGTTGCCTGGGGACGTAGATGTCGGACAGGAGGTAGACGTAGGTTTGGGTACAGTTCCTTTCAGGGCACTCAGATCTTAACTTTGGGAGAGGGAGCGCTGAAGCCCCTACGTTTGCTCCAGGGACTAACCACCCAGCTCTTTGCTCCGGTGGTTTGGCTTCAGAGGGTCAGAGATTAGGAATGGGGGGAGGAATCACTGGTGTCCGCGCCCCTTGCTGTTAGGCCGGGAACAGGAAGGTTCTTGCCCCACACCAGCAGGACGTCCTCTTTCTGGTGCAGGAGAGGGGTGAGGATGAGGCGGGTGCTGCTGGGGTACAGGTCGGCGGGTCGGGGTGGGGGGGATCTCGGCAGGCTCTCCCACTCACCATTCCTATGGACGCTCCCGTCAACTCAAGGCTTGTACCAGACTCCTCTGAACCAGTCAGTCTATCCAGAAGAGACAGAGTTCACACCAGAATACCCCGCCCTCTTCCCACACGTTGCCATTTCCACAGTGGTGCTCAAACTTAAAAGAATCCTTTTTTCCTCCAGGTTCCAAGACCGTCTCTCCAAGGCTTGGTGGCCTCTGATCATCTGCAAGGCTTGGTGCCCATTACCTCCTGTGTTGTTTTTCAGGGTGGGAGCTGCATCATCTGTAACTGTTTCTCACCCCCTCCTCCCCAGCCCTTGTTCCTTGTTGGCGCTTCTAACCATGATGAATGCTTCTTATTCTGTGTAATCACTGAAGCTCTTTTCTTCTAGCCAATCAGCATTTGAAAGAAAGGGTGAATGGGAATTTCAGGACCAGGGCCTATGGAGAATTCACTTCCTGCTGAGGGCTAAGTGCCAAGAAAGTGGAGTGTTTGGAGGCTGGCTTGGCACATTTAGAATATAGGTTTTCTCAGCTGTCTAGTAAACTACCTGTAGAGTGGCTCTGGGATCCACAATAGAGCAGCATGGAAGTCTCTCTCTCAGAAAGCAGGAGCCCAGCACTCGGCACTAGAGATCCCTGCTCTATAAACGCATTCCTGTTCCCACACGGTGTCTGCAGCTTCCATGGTTAAGGACTCCTTCCAGGAGCTGTCACTCTGCTCCCATTTGCATTCCCTTTTCAGAAATCAAACCTTTGGGAAGATGCCCAAATGAGGTGAGGAAGTCACCCTCTGCCCTTGAAGGCAGCCAAGCGGGTACTGCCCCGGAGGGTGCCACCATGAGACCCCTTCCGATGGAAGGGTTCTTCCTCCCACAGACGGAAAGCTTAGGTTCTAAGAATTAAGGAAGGGGCTTGAGATACGGCCCAGAGAACTAAAGTGACACTGGGCCAGCTCTCTTTCCACAGAACAGGACCACTTGGAGTCGGGTGGGACACCTGTGGGAGTCCTAGAAAGCCCCTTATCTTCTGGGCCTTCCGAGAATTCAGATAGATAATCCACTACCACACTTCCAATAGCCCTCAGGAAGCTGTGATTTAGAACAGATCTTCCCCACCACGACCTTTACCTCTTGCCTCTGCCCCAACCTGAGCTACTGATTCTCTTCTCTCTGGGGTGCACAACCCCAGAAGCCAAGGCTATTGATCAGGTGTCCCGCTTTCCTCTGGAACCCAAATAAGCTGGTAAAAGCATTGATGGTCCTGCACATCACCATTTATTTAGTAAGCACTCTTTTTTTTAATGTTTATTTATTTTAGAGAGAGTGAGAGACAGAGCGTGAATAGGGAAGGGGCAGAGAGAGAGGGAGACACAGAATGGGAAGCAGGCTCCAGGCGCCGAGCTGTCAGCACAGAGCCGGACGCGGGTCTCGAACTCACGAACCGCGAGATCATGACCTGAGTCGAAGTCGGACACTCAACCAACTGAGCCACCCAGGCGCCCCTCCACTTAAAAAAAAAATTTTTTTTAATATTTATTGATTTTATAGAGAGTGAGAGAGCACACTTTTATCACTTTTTATACTGGGTGGCAGAGAAATGGACAGACATGTAGCCAATTGACAGCAGTCCATAAACTACCCAGCTTTAGGGAGTTGCCGGATTCTTACATTGCCCTGAGACCTGACAGCGGTTCCTAAGAACATCTCTGTACAAATGTAAGCCAAATACCATTCCCTGTGTAGAGTTGTCCCAGAAGCCGGAGTGGGTCACGAGGGGCAGGCAGTCACGGCCCCCGCCTCTCAGGCGCTCACACCAGCTCGCAGGACCACTCTGGCCTCATTCCAGGCTTATGGGAATCCAGCATTCTGAGAACAAGGCTCTCTCAGGACCCTCCCACCTACTGACTTCTCTTGGGCAGGACGGCGCATTTAGTACCAAACGTTTATTGAGCACACACAACGTGCAAAGCCTCCCGCCAGGTGCTGTGGAGGATACAGAGAGCAGAAGATATGACTACTTCTCTCTAAGGGCCTGAAAACACAAATAACCACGCACGAAGCCACATGTGCTGAGTGGGAGCAGCCCCAGTCCATACTGTGGCTGCCCTGTTTGCCACTCCTGAGTTCGACTTGGAAATGCACAATGAGGCCCAGAGGACACCTGCACAGCTGGAATGATCAGGGTTTTTGCTGTGTAATGCCTGTGGCATTCTAGAACATCCAGCAGACATAAATTTTAGGTCCTACTCTAGCACCATCTATGAGAGACTCTCTTCCTCCCATGTCATCCCCCAATAACTAGATGTCCGAATCTGTTACTCAACACTATGTCTGTGTCCCTAATGGAGTCTCATTCCTCTGTGTCGCTCCTTAAACCTGCTAAGAGTACTTTTTAGAATCACAGGGATAATCCGGACAACTTTCAAGGTTAATTCTCTTTGGTTATAAGCCATGTGAGTTCCCAAACAGAGATAGTATTTTATTTTGCTCAGGTCCTTGGCTGCACTGGAGATCTTGTCCGGTAGAAGAATTTTGTCATCTTTCCCCCAGGGAAATTTGCCACATCATATCCGGAGGCTAGCCAGCATATCAGTTCCAGGGATGGGAACTTTCAGAGACCACTCGTCCTGAATTCAGACTATTACAAACCTTCTCCGTTTGAAAATGTCCACATCATTTGGAAAAAGTCACCCAGTGTCCCCTTTTTTTCCATTCCTGCAGCCACCCTGAATTTCGACTTCCCCTCAACTCCTTTCTTTTTTGCAGGTTTGATTCTTTCCTCAAAGTATACTTTCAGCAATGATCTGATTACCTCCAGTGAGAGTTGAACATGGGGACTCAAAGGATTGTCAGAGCACCCTCAGCAGCTAAGGAATAGTCCAGATAGGACCCTTGCTGACCCTGCCTTGGGAGATCTTAGCTAGATTAATCAGTTGAGCAGCACATCATCTCAGCACTGTTTGGAGCCAACCTCCAGACTGGCATCTGTACCTCCATCCTTCTCCCCACCTCAGGCCTCTTTGTTATCAGAGTAACCACCCCCTTGAAGAGCCGGGGTCTTCCTGCCGTGTGTGGGGCCCAACGCCCCTCAAACCTCAGTGTTTTGCACTCTTTACGTGGCATAGTTTCTCAGGATGAGGTCGACTCAGGGGTATTTTGAACTCAAGACACTTGGCCGGGATGGGATAGCTCACCTTCAGATGTACCTGTTAAGGCCTAAGAATCTGGTGATTTTAGATTGTTTGGGGTTAAGAGTCGGCTGCACCTGGCAATAATTGGCAAAAGATACCTCCATGTAGATTCTTAGTGATAATGATAAATGGAGGCAAAATGATTGTTTGGTGCTACTGTGTTCTAGATAAAGCTTTTGAGGCCCTTGTTTTAGACAGAAATTGAACTGTGAACCATGTACCCTTCAAAGAACATGAGGAAGTAGGCTTTAATAGTACCCAGATTTGCTTTGGGTACTGCCCAGGGCTCCAGGGAAGATCCCTACACTGATGAATTATGAGTCTGTGCATAGATAAAGGGCCACACCCCTTTTTAAAAACAAATCTTTGAGCCTGCTCACCCTTTCCCTCCCTAGGTCACTGACGTCCTACTTCTGCCTCCTGCCACTTAATTATAAAGAAAGGAAGAAGGAAGGAAGGAAGGAAGGAAGGAAGGAAGGAAGGAAGGAAGGAAGGAAGGAAGGAAGAAATTAATTATTTTTAAAAGGGTTCTGTACAGTTCCGAGATCCAGAATGAAAGCCCTTGGCTAGAGAGAAAAATCAACAACCGAAACCCAGTTATCGTTTGTTTCCATTTTTCTCCTCTAACTCTGCTTTCACGTACCAATTTAGGCTGAGCAGGGTTGCAACCACCATTTCCCAGGAGAAGGAACTTAAGAATGATGGATGGGAGCATCTGAACCTATCCTAGAATTGGGTGGTGCAGGACAAGGGAAAGACTATTCCAAGAAATGCAGAGGCCAGACGTTTTAGGATTTGATCAGCTAAAGGTAGTTTCCTTTGGTGGGAGGTTGAGTCAGGCCTCCCAGTTCAGGCCTAGGCAGCCCTAGTATGCTTGGCATCCAGTGTTCCGGGACCACGTGGTAACAGCTCTGAGCTCCCTGGTAGAACATGGTGAGTGTGTCTCTGGAAGAGCAGGAGGGCATTTGACCGTCACGACTGCAGGCCTGGAGACCTGCAGACTTCTCCCCAGCCCGGCAATTTAGTCAACTCCATATTATTCAGATTCCAACAGTCCTCTCTTGAGATAACTTCATTTTACCTGCCAGGGGGAGGGGTGAACTCTCTGTGGAGGAAGGGGCTCTGGCCTGGGAAGCAGGAGAGTGGGTCCCTCCCTGTTCCTGGCTCCAGAACTGCCCATGTGACACTGGTGTATGGGTCTCAATTTCCTCACCCGTAAATGTTTTAAATTCTTCCAAGAATCCTACCAGCCATTTTTCTAATGATGAGAGCAGAAGATTGTCCTGGAAAGGACAGACCCGAGGCCAGTTCCTTTGGAGCTGTTCTGGAGAGAAAGAATGGGGATCACAAGGAAAAGCATGGGTTCAGTTTTCAGACCGCCAGCCTCCCCACCCCCTGCCCAAGTCCTCACGGCCGCAAAGGAGTCATGGTTGTAGTTCAAAGACGGAGGGATTATTATAGTTGAAAGTGAGAGAGAAAAAAATTGCTTAAGTGAGTTCTCGTGGGGCCAAAACTCTGTCTAGAAATCGCTTCCTTTGGTTCTTTTCGTCCCGGGAACTGCCAAGCCAGCCGTGGCGCTTACTGGACATGTTTCCTTTGTTGATGTGGTAACTCGTCACGTTCTCCAGCAAATGGTTTCTCGCCAACCAGCAGCAAGAGAGCTTGTCCCTGTTGGAAATCCGCGGTGAATGAGCTGAGGCGGGGGCAGCTTGTGTGGAGTGTGTGTATTTATCTGTATTCTTTTCCATAGGTACCATTAAGTTTGTCTGGCTTAATTTAATGGCAACTTCTGGGAGCTGCAGAGGCTGTAAAGGGCGAGGGTAAGGTTTTTGTCATCTGTTCAGGCTCCTCTCCTTCCAATGGAACGTCCTCATTCCCCCTCTCCCTTCAGCCTCCTCCCTTTGCCAACCTGTATGTATGTTCTACTGCCTCCTCTCGAGTTTCTCTTCCCCTTGTGTTTTTTCTTCTGCCTCTCAACCTCCTTTCCTTTCAGGTCGTTTGAGTCCAAGTTGAAGTAGGCAGCTGGTGTTACCCACTCTCTCTACCTGGGGCGGGGGGGGCCCAATCTGTGTAATCAGTGCTAGGGGCTTTATTCTAACACTCTGGAACCTCTTTTCTTTTTTCTTTTTTTTTTTTTTCCTTTGTTTTGTTTTGTTTCCTTTTTTGTTTTTTGTTTTTCTCTTCTGTTTCCGTGTAGGTCTCTTTAGTCAGCCTTATAGCTAATGCCCTGGGCTACTCGGAACTAGGTGCCATAAAGTCCCTTAGGACCCTAAGAGCTTTGAGACCCTTAAGAGCCTTATCACGATTTGAAGGGATGAGGGTAAGAAACTAAGAGCAGCTGATCCTTCTGCATGCTGATGGAAACTGTTTACGCATGCTAGAACTGATCACATGGTGGGAAGATCATTCAGACACGAACTGTGATGCAGCTGCTGATTTGATCCTCCACTCTCTCCCCGCACCTGCCCTGTGCGAGGGGGTCGCATCAAGCTGCCTCATCACATTAATATGGGCCCCGCCCCAACAACGTGCCATCGCAGAACATGTTAACGCTGGCTGTTCTCACTCGGCCTGGCTTACCTGTAGCACTCGGGGCGGCTTTCTGGGCTGTTGGTTTTAATAGGGAGAATCACCAGGTGCAAAGAAGGGGAATTGTAACCCACAGACCCACTGAAAAGCAGAGGCTGCAGGCAGGGTGAGTGCCATATAGGGGCATCAGCCAGGTGGGGACTGTGGCCTTGCAGTCGCTGAGAAAGCATCTGAGAAGGGGCTGGAAGGCATGACGGCAGGCCTGGAATTGGGAATGGAGCGGAATTTGGCATAGCCCTGGGAAAAGAAATGCTTTTCTTTCTATTCTGATTCCTCTTATTGCACCTTGTTGTTCTCAGCCCAGTCCCATAAGGACTGGCAGCCTCTGTCTGATAGCAAAGCTTTCCTCCTCACCCCCCCACCCCTCTGTCCACGCTCTGTGGTCCCCTATCCTGACACAGTCAAAAGGACAATCAGGTACGACACCAGATGACCATCAGCTAGTTCTCCTGAAATTTCTGCTATTCCTGCTTTGGTGATACTCCACCCGAATCCCAACAGGGCAAGGTGCTGTCACCCTGCCAACTTAGGAACGAGGCTCCCTCTTGCTGTCTCTCTTGGTTCAGAAACACTGCGCGTGCGTGTGCATGCGCACACGCACGCACACCTTAAAAAGTCAACTTCCTAAAATCAAGTGGGCAACTGGCTTTTGGTGGTGATAGTTGTCCTGTGGTAATCAGAGAGGTCTGTTATACTTAACGAGACCAAGAAAACTCGTTTCGATTCAGATGTTGAATACATGCAGGAGAGCAAACCAGAGGATGTGTTTTTAAATGACGGAATCTCAAAATGTAGGAATAAAAATTAAATGGTTCCCGTGGTCCCCAGGGAGCAAGGCTAATTGGAGAAACTAGGTACCAGGACAGTGCTCCTCATCTGTGCGTTCCTCATCTGTGATCCCTGGCCACCGTTCCACAGAGCCACCCACGGTCGTCCAGGAAGGTGGAAATTTTGCTGCGATTTGGGGGTTTTATTCTGTTTGTTCAGTCAAATGCTTCTCACAACAAATTGTGTTTCTTCGGTAGCACAGTCACAGTGTGCTTTACTGGGTATAAGCTTTCTGCAGCCCGCCTGAAAGCATCCGCAGGGAGGTCAGTTCCACAGCCGCACAGACTTACTTTAACTTAAAAAAACAAACCAGAGTTTGGGAGTGTCTTTCTCCCACCGATAAGAGAGATTTCAGAATGTGTGCAGTAAGGTCTTTGTTATGTTCAGACCAGGTTTAGGGAGAGAGAGTATAGTTCAAAGTGTCCAAGTCTTCAGACATAGGATTGCAGTGCTCTCCCCTCCTCCCCTGCCTTCCCACTTTTTTCAGAAAGGGCTGGTTGGTTACATTTTTTAAATAAGTCCCATCAGTTTCGTTAGAGTGTTGATAATCTGTTTCGGTGACCGGGATACTGAGGACCTGAAGAAGGCTGTTTGTTGCAGACAGTACTTGCCCCATGGCAGCCAAGCCCAGTAGCCTGTGCCCCTCCACAGCCCCCAGCAGTGATCCTGGGCCTCCTAAAACCAGACCGGTAATACCTGAAGGAAGCCCAAGAAAAAAAGTCCCCAACTGACCCTTGCTACTTTCTCCATCTGGATGCTCATCACTGCCAGTCCTAGCCCGTGGCAGAAGTAGTCCGCGTTGACCAGCTGGTGCCAGTGTGCTCAGGAGGAATTTATTCCAATAATCTGGTCGCGGGAGCCCTTTTGCTGGCCACACCTCTTCCCTCTAGCCCCTCCCCCTTCCCTGGACTCACAGTTTTTATTCCTTCCAAACTTTCGGTTGCCAACCTTCAAGTCGTTTAGCAACCCAGAGGTCCAGAAGCGGTGATCAGAAGAGCAGAAAGTTTTCTCCGAAAAAGCATTTGAGAGTGCAACCTCTACCTCAAGGTTTTTTCAAGTAAGATAATTTGAGCAAAGACCAGTTTGAACCCAAAGCCAGGGTTTCCAACAATGAGTGTTCAGTAAGGGCAGCTCTGGTACAGGGTCGTCATTTGGTTTGGTTGACCCCGGTCAGCCTCCAGCACTGTCCACCTCTGGTTGGGTGGCGGAGAGGGCTCGGGATCCCATCCTGCCCTGCAGTTTCCCGGCCCTTCTGCAGAAGAGTAACTGCAAGAAGAAAAGATTGAATCTGCCTGAGCTTATAGTAAGTGTCCCAGCGATAAACAGAGTTAGGTGTATACGTTTTATATGAAAGTTACTTTTCTATGGGGCCGTATGTTTTCCATTCTTCGGTGTGGGTTCTTCCGTACCAACACTGAGAGATTATCCTTAGAAAGTAAGAAATCTTAAATAAGAAATCTTCTCAAACCAAATACCATCAATGCAGGTGGGCTCCACTGTCACTGTGCTGCTCCAATGATCGGCTCAGACCTTCCTTTGGGAGGAAACATACAGCCCTAGCCTGTCCTGGGACAGTCTTTCCTCTCTCCTTCCTCAAACCAAACACCAGAAAATTGAAGCACTCGTGCTATTGGCAAAGGAATACTTAATGTAGTTCTTTGCTTTTCTCTCCTCCATAGTAATCTCCATTTAAAGACTGTGCTGTGCTACTAAATTTTTGAGGGTACATAATGCTATGAAACATGCATGCATTTTTGTTGACTGTCAGTACATAGTTGTCCATTAAAGCCATGTTCCCTCTGCCAGATATTAAAAGCCGTTTGACAGATTTTTATAGTATTTAATGAACAATAATGTTCTAGGCATTATGAGAAGACACCAATGCTGTAAAAATTAGTATCCGTAGGAATTTTTTTCGTCAGTCAAGTGAGATTTGAATCAATCATTAAGTATAAATTTCCATTGGAAAAAAATAACTCTGCAGATTGCTAGAACCAAGCTTTGAGTAATGTTTCTGTACCTAGTTTTTAACAATGAAGTCCGTCATAATTAAAAGCTATGTAGAATAACGTGGGAGTTATTAAGGACCCATTTATGAAGTGACTGCCCATGGAAACTTGAATTGTCATTTACATTTACCTATAGTGTGAGAGTTCAAGAAAGCGTGGTTTCTTGCCCTTTGGTTGCTGAGAATATCAGCACAAGGACAATTTTATGTGGAGCACAGTTCAACAGTTCCCACTACTAGCTAATGTCTACAGCCAGGAAGAATTATTAGTAAATTTCATCAACTGTTTACTATTCAATTCCTACAACTAATCTAAGAAGTTTTTCTTTGTTTATAATGAACAATTGAAAGTACATTTACATCGTGTAAATGGGTTTTATTGGATTTTATAGGATGTTTATGTCCTATGTATCCAAGAACAAGGCTCCATAAATACTTCCATCTACTGATTCTTTTAATCCGACCTATGAGTATAAAAGCGGGAAGAGGTCACTTTGTTAATTAGCTGATTATTCTTCCCTGCTATAACTATTACTGCATATTTAACTGTAACGCTTTGTAACTTTAACACTGTAGGACAGGTTAGACTGGGTTAAGATAGAAGACTTCGTAGAGGAGGTGGATTCTGAATTGAGATAAAATGCAGCATTTCTAGGTTGCAAATCTTTTGGGGCTACTTCCCTGCTGTACACTCATGATGGTCTAATAGGTCATGATCTCTCACCTAAGCTCTCTTGCAAAATGCTATCGCATAGACTTGAGCTTCTGAATTCTTGATAATCTACTCGCTTACCGTTCAAGAAATGATTATTCCGTTTATAGATCATCCTCCTCTTGCCTATTCATTCGCACATTTCATTGCTTTCTGGTGCTCCACCAATGGGTGAGAGCAACTATAGAATGAGGTAAAATTCAGATCTGACCACCCGCCAACTTTGGTAACATAAATAAATAAATATGAATATCATTCTCCAAAATAACATTGGGGATTTTCCAGATTTCAGATATTCTGGCTTGCCTCCCTCAAAGTAACGAACAGTGGAAGGATCACCATTTTATACTAATGACAGAGCTATTAAATCTAAAAGAGATTTCTTGGTCTAAGAATTAAGAAATAACTACCTCTCAATCTAAAGGCCTTCATCTGTGAATTGGAGAAACACAAAACTAACATTTTAATCCAAAGGAGAGTGACTCCTCAGTAGAATATCTTTGCCTTTTTTATATAGGACAGAACAGCTCTTCCAGCCACACATTCCTGTGAGTGACATTGCAATGTAAGGCAAGAACAGACGAGAAGGAAAACCCGAACCCAAGTCAAATAGAGCCCAGAGCTGCCCCCTGCCGTTCCTTCTGCAGCACAGCCCTTTTGGCCCTTTTGATGCTGTGCTTATTGGCAGAGTGCCCTTGCCTCTTCCCTGCTGATGGCGCAACATGGTGACACTTCTCACCTCCTTCTAACAAACATTAGAAAGCTGCGTTTATATCCACTGGTTTTATTTTAACTCCATTTTAATTTTCCTAGGATATTAGAAAAAGAAAGACACATTCTTCCCATTTCAGGGTCGCCTTTCTGGGCCTTAGCAGTCCCGCTTAAGACAACAGCAAGTAAGAATCAGGGCAGAATGAACACCAGCCTTGTTTTCTGTCCCAGCCTGCTGAAGTGCTATTTTTGGATGCCCCTCTGAACTCCCCTAGTGAAATCTGCCGCACAGTAGGAGTGTTGTCTATTTAGTCTCACCCATAGTGTGAATCAAAATCAAAGTTAAAAACAACCCAGAAACTTTGATTCCTGAAGAGTTTTTTCCCTTTGCTTTTTTTCATTCCTGAGCTTAACTGCAGTCAGTGATTTTTAGCAATATTCTGGTTTTGGGGTTTCAAGAGCAGCGATCTAGCCCAAAACTGTCCAGAAAACATAAGTCATTCCTATTTCGAATACATTGTGAAGAGTTGAGGCCGGCCCTGGATTGAGCAGAGAGAGATCAATCAGCATTAGCCAAACAGGGGTGACTCTTAGATTTCGAAGCCTACCAATTCAGGAAAAAAACTGAAGAATAGTGAACCTTGAGTGAAAAATAGATCTGTTCAGATTTTATTTTATTCTGTTTGGTAGAGGGAATATAGCTTTTTTTTTTTTTTCTTGAGCCTGCAAAATATGCATGCTCAGCTATTGCCTGAACTAAGATAACTGGCCTTGCATAAAAGAGACTTTATGTACCATTGACTGATTCCCTGCTAACCCCAAAGAGTAGTTCTCTGTGATTTTGAACAATTCTACCTTGTTTTGCAGAGGGGGAATGTCTGTTGAAAGGCAACTGGTGAGCTTGAAATCAGATTCCCCACGGGGGCATATTTTACAAGTTGGCAAGAAGGGAGACTAGACTGAGAAATAATTTTTTCGGTCCCAGGCCGGAGCCTGGGAGAGAAGACCTAGGTCAACTCGGGCAGGGGAATTCGCGTTAGGTGAAATAAATACGTAATTTACTGGAATTCGTCAAACTACATCTTACAGATTTAGAAAATTCTGGTCCTACTTGTGGATCTGTTCTGTTACCCTGACTCCAAAGGGAACACGATGTTTTTGTAGTCAGAACAAGCCACACAGTATCATTCCCCTCCTGGAAATCAAAAGAATGTGCTTGCTCTTACTTCCAACACTCAGCGACCTCCCCCTTCCAATGCAGGTGGTGGTGAATGCCTTGGTGGGCGCCATCCCCTCCATCATGAATGTGCTACTGGTGTGTCTCATCTTCTGGCTGATTTTCAGCATCATGGGAGTTAACCTGTTTGCGGGAAAGTATCACTACTGCTTTAATGAGACTTCTGAAATCCGATTTGAAATTGAAGAGGTCAACAATAAAACCGATTGTGAAAAGCTCATGGAGGGGAACAACACCGAAATCAGGTGGAAGAACGTGAAGATCAACTTCGACAACGTTGGGGCGGGATATCTGGCACTTCTTCAAGTGGTAAGTGTTGCTCTTTTCTTCAGTCCTGTGAAATTCAGACAGCTAGCAGAAATCGCATTTGGCTCCTTCTCAGTCCGACATTCAGAATCAAGATTACTCTCAGTAGGTCACAGACAACAATGCCATTTCCCACACCAGTTCCAGGGTGACACCTTTCCTGAGAATTCTGACTTCCCCAAGGCCTCACTCAAAGGGGATCTTTCACTGTGCTCGAGAGCAGACTCCTGCTCAACAGCAAATAGATTCCTGCAGAGAGATCAGCTTCTCTCTCCAGGACGGAGTATGTATTTAAGGAGAAAGGAAAAACAAAAAAAGAAGGTAAGTACATAGACACAGCCCACCACCAAAAAAAACAAAAACAAAAACAAAAAAAACCCAATTTTGATTTAGCAGGATATTCCTGTATAACAGCTACACTAAACTAACTAAAGAAAAGGATGGGGGCAGTGCTAGGATGCTGCCGCCCATGTCAGCTCAATCCCGAGAGAAAAGTCTCAAATTAATGTTTATCGCGGTAAGAAAGGATTTATTTTAATTATGTAGCGTGCCATCATGTCTAGTTTTCTCTTCCACCCTTACCAGTCTTTTTTGGAATGTTTGACAAGACCGTATGATGCAGGGAAAGGCCCTAGGCTTTGGAGTCAGACAGATAATAGGTTTGAGCCCCACTCTGATGTTTACTGGATATGTAACCTTGGACGAAATACTCGACTTCCCTGGGGCTGTTTCTTTTTCTTTTAAATGTCGGGAATAATACCTTGCACCGCTGTTAAGAGGATTCATGATAATTTATTAGAATTTCTCAGCAGAATGCCTGGCACATAGCAGTGCTTAATTAATGGCATTTGCTATTGGGTATTTTTGTTACTGTCACAACGGTGCCTACATCATATAGCCGTTGGGAGTATTAAACGGGATAATGCAGGTGAAGCCTTCAACTTGACCTTACAGATAGTGAACACTTACTGTTAGCTAGTATTAGGAGGCAAAGTTAATAGAATAAGCAGTGCTTTATCCAGAGGCTTTTGTTGTTTTATCCCAGTTGGAGAAATTGGACCCACAAATTGAATCTGAATTGGAGCAGCTCCAGGAGAGCAGTACACATCGGTCAGCCAGTCAGACATTGTATTTAGAGTCCCACCAGGTGCAAGGTGCTGCGCATGGCACGACTCAGGCCATCTGATCAATAAAGAACCGTCCGTGCCCTGCAAAAAGCTTTGAATCTGGTTGAATATATAAAGCAAATAGAACAATAAGAAAACATAGAGAATACTGGATTGCTTAGCCGTATCTGTTTCCAGAATGAGGCTAGGTAGAGTAGATTGAAGGAGAGTGGGTTAGGAAGGGCTGGTCGGAAGGAAGCCAGGATTGCCATTGCCATAGGCTAAATGTGTATAGTAGTAGGGGGGAAGTTCTGGCCTTGTTTTTGTGTTTATTTTATTTTTATGTTAATGCAACTTTGAGGTTTTCAGACCCCCCTTGCTTATTTAACACCATCGTAAAAAATGACTCCTCAGTGTTAGGCTAAGTTCTCAGGACCCTCAAGTGGAGTCCCGCCACTCATTCATAAATGTGAGTTTGCCCCAGCTCTAGGCGACCTTCTCAGACCCATTTTAAAGACATTTTGTGAAAGTATTCATCCAATTACCATTATCAGCGTGTTTCTCTGCCAGACTTTGATGTTATTTTCAGGGACTTAGACAAAGCCCCCTGGGGACCCGTGTTAACAAATAGGAAATTCTATGTCCCTGTGAGGCTGTGCCCAAACTCCGTCTTGTGTTCTGCTGAACCTGAGCCTGGCCTCTGGGACCCCTGCCTAGACTCCCACCTACCCCCTAACAGGCACAGTCTAATGACTGACTCTGTTTGCCAGGCAACCTTCAAAGGCTGGATGGACATCATGTATGCAGCTGTAGACTCCCGAAAGGTAAGGATACACCTGGCGAAACCACAGCCTTCTTAGGCGGTTAGAAAGCAGGCAGCATGGTGGCGCTTACCAAGAGAGAGCGGGTCGGGACACGTATTTGCTTGTTTGACCGATTGCGGATTGCTCTCCTCCTCTCAGTCAGTCATCACTCCCTTACACTGGCTCTGGATGATCAGGCTGTTGCCTTTTACCCGGCTCCGGTGGCGCCATCTCCCGCTGACAGAAATGTGGCTCCTGGGGGACAGCCCTCCCCCGCCCCCTCGCCTCATGATTTGCATATTCACCCCACCAGTGCTCCCCAGGGCAGGGCCTGCCAGTGTGGCAGAGGGAACAGGCAGAGAGAATGTAGAGCGCCCTCTCCGCAGCTTGTACAGCAGCTCAGGTGGTCAGTTACGGCCGATGGCGTTGGCATGTCGGAATCCCCCACCTGATCCCACTCCAGGAACTGATGCTCTGCTTTTTCCCTCCTGTCCTTTGCCAGCCTGACCAGCAGCCTAAGTATGAGGACAACATCTACATGTACATCTACTTTGTCATCTTCATCATCTTCGGCTCCTTCTTCACCCTGAACCTGTTCATTGGTGTCATCATTGATAACTTCAATCAACAAAAGAAAAAGATAGGTCTCCTCCCCTCATTACCAGTGGCCAGAGGTCAACTCAGATGAGAGGCACTTCTGTCCCTATCTCTAGAAAGAAAATGCCTCTCTTTCTCTAAAATGCACATCATCACCTCACTGTGGCTCCGGCCCCCTAGACGTTAGCCCCCGTCCCCAACTTTTTCTCTCGGGGGCTTGATTTCACAGTATGTGGTTTACCACATTACTCGCGATTGTTGAAGCCTTTACTGGGTTTGGCATTCAACCAGAGGGAAGCAAGGTCAGAGAGGGTCTAGTGACGGGTGAAGAGGAAAGTGGCAGGTGAATAGCAAGAAATGGAGAGTGTCTGGACTCGTAATCACCTGTGGTAATCCCTGGGCACCCCTAGCAAACTGGGGTTTGAGAGCCCGTCCTCGGAAAGTTCACTTACTTACTGCTCCAGATGGTTAACGATTTTCCAAAACAAACTGAAGCACTGACTCCTTTCGTCCATTTTACGAAACAAGACTGTGTCAAGGAACTCCCCACGTTGCTTTTTTGCACCCGGATTTCTGAAGGTTTAATATCGTCGGAAATAAACTAGTCCCAGGCTAGTAACCGGGACTGGAAAATCCTTTCATTTTAAAATGCTTTTTTTTTTTTTTACAATTTTATCAGGAAAGCAGGTCCAAAAGATATGGACGAACCAGTGAGGTGCAAGCATCTCTGCCCTCGGGTGTCCCCTGCCTGAGGGCCCACAGCTGGATAGTCCCATCTCCCTCGTGCCCGGCCACTGGCAGGTCTCAGGAATCCCAAGCCGAGGACAGAGGCTGGCGTTCCTTTGAATTAGAATAGTTGTCCCAGGTCTACCTCATTAGGGGGCTACTAGCCAAACTGACCTCTGGAGAGGTAAGGGGGTAAGGCCCCCCCTCAGTGCTTAGGGTTGAACCTTAGGTCCAAACCACAGCATGTGAGAGCCTATTGTAACAGTTCGTTCTCTTCTTTCTTCCTTTACTTTGGAGGTCAGGACATCTTCATGACTGAAGAACAGAAGAAGTACTACAATGCCATGAAAAAGCTGGGCTCAAAGAAACCACAGAAACCCATTCCCCGCCCCCTGGTGAGTACAGGCCAAGGAACGAGTGAGACCCCATACGGAAAAGACACTGGTAGGGTTATTGCAAAGGAAACAAAGGGGTAAGTGAGGAGCCGCCTGTGCCTTCTGATCCTCTCCCAGCTGTTCCGCCCAGAGGACCTGGGGAAAACAGCAGAACAGAGATAAAGGTACGGGATGCCTTTGATATTTGTGCTCGACCTTTCCTCTGAGACTTCCTTGGGCGGCAGCAGAGAATCAGCATGTTATATAGCCACGTTGGCTCTGGCACTGGTAGAGAGATGTTTTAAGAGACAACTAAAAATTAACAAAGGACAGTGAAAATGAAAGCTGACCTCTTTCCTACCAGTACAAGATAGGGCGTGGTCACTGTCTTCTCAGTTCTCTACCCAACAAGGAAGTCTTCCCAAGAGAAAGTAATACTCTGGCTATTTGTGGGAGCAGAAGAGGGTGAAACTAGGGGTCTGATGTCCTGATTTTCTGTCTCGAACCGAGCCTTTTGTAAAACAGACTCGGGCACTGGGATTCCGCTTTGCCCTTCTGGTGGTGGCCGTTCCCTTGCTTCAGAGCAGATAACTGCTCCTGAAGCCATATACCCAGCGGGGTGGGACATAAGCCCCAGGCTCAAAGTTCCATCTTTTGTAACTTTCATATAAAGTAAGTTTTTATTTAAAAACGGCACAACCCTAAAATAAAAGCTTATCTGGCAATAAAAGTAGAGCTCCTTTGAATCAAGAGTGGGAGTCCCAGAGCATTTTCCCTGCGTAGCCCCACACCCTGTGCCTGACTTACTTGCCTCACCGACTTCCAAGGGAAAGGAAACCCTTGGTTTGAAAACCGACACGTTAAAGTGATCCTGAAAGTAAGCATCAGTTTAAGTGCCTAGGCTCTTTTGAAAAAAAAAAAAAAAAAAAAAAATCAGGGAGATTTTTTGAAAATTTATTTATTGAAATTCAAGTTAGTTGACAAAATCAGGGCGATCTTAAAAAAGCGAATGTTTTTTATATTTTTCCCTGATGTCAGAGTTTCCATCCTATGATGGAAATGAGACTAAGGAGAAGGGAGAGGGTTAACATTTCTGAAGTTCCATTCAGTCCCTTGCACACGGGAACTTGAGTATATTTTCGTCCACTCTAAAATATGGTAGGAGACATTAATAAAGAGTGATCAGCCCTCATTCAGCAAATAGTTCTAGATCCCCTCCTGCGTTCCAGGCACTAGGCCCAAAGCGATGAACAAAATTCAGACCCTGTGGTCAATGGAGCTTATGATACAGAGGGGCTAGAGGTAGTAAGTAAGCGAACAGCTACAATACAGTATGGAATGTTGGGAGAAAAACAACATTCCGTGGAGGGCCGTGACAGAGAATGTGGAGGCTTGGGGTGGGGGATCTACTTGAACAGAGTAGTCAGAGAAAGGGAAGTAGGGAAGGACTACTTGGATAGATGAGAAGGAGCCAGAATGTTAGGGGAGGAGAACCTGGAAAAGCAAATGAGGTTCTAAAAGCAGAAAGCATCAGTATGGCCAAGTGGTAATGGCCGAGAGGAGGGGGCATGAGATTAGCTGGATGAGGCTGTGAGAGGCATCTCCAGCCAGGCTAACAATAGGAATTTCGTTGCAAGCCCAATGGGAAACCGTTGAAAGGTTTTAAGTCAAGAGGGATGTGGTGCATTTATGTTTTTAAATAATCACACTTGCTACTGTGTGAAGACCATGTTGGATGAAGGCACGAGAGGAAGCAGGGAGACTAGTCAGGAAACTTCCAGAAGTCCAGACAGAAGGTACCGGTGCTTGGGCCGGAGAAGGGCCGACAGAAGCGGGGTGACGTGGGTGGACTCAGGAGAATCAGTAGGATCTGCAGCGCAGCAGGCAAGGGGAGAGGGAGAGGAAAGCGACAAGGGGGACCCTCGGGTTTCTGGCTTGGAGACTGGGTACACGATTGAGATGGGAGAAGAGAGGAGTGGGTTGGGTGAGGGGCAAGGGAAGGACTTGTTAGGTTTGAGATGTCGAGAAAGCAACACAGGAATTCAGAGGAAAGGATTTAAGAAAACGACGTACAAAGGTGCTATGTACGCAGTAGGAATAGATAGATGAGCTCTCCTGGGGAGAGTAGAGAAAGAAGAGTCTAAGTCAGGGAAGACATGGCCGGCAAAACGGGCTGAACAGGAGCAGTCGGCGAGGCAGGAAGACACCTAGAAGTGTGTGATGGCGTAGACATGACACAGAACAGAGAGTGACAGTTTTAGAAAACTCTTGGGGAGGTGAAGACTGATGTCGGGGTCCGTCCGTGCTCCTGATTTCCTGACAGAGCAGCGGGATAGAGCTGGCCAGAAAGGCGACTCCTCTGACGAACAGGATGGCGGCTTCCACGGTCCGCTCAGAAAGGTTCTCACGAATGCTCTTGTATCTTTCCTCCCCCTGCCCCCAGAACAAAATCCAAGGTATCATCTTCGATTTTGTCACCCAGCAAGCCTTCGATATTGTTATCATGATGCTCATCTGCCTTAACATGGTGACAATGATGGTGGAGACAGATACACAGAGCAAACAGATGGAAAACATTCTCTACTGGATTAACCTGGTCTTCGTCATCTTTTTCACCTGTGAGTGTGTGCTCAAAATGTTTGCCTTGAGGCACTACTACTTCACCATTGGCTGGAACATCTTTGACTTTGTGGTAGTCATTCTCTCCATTGTGGGTAAGTGGGACGGGAGAGGGAAGGGGAAGGGGACCTGACTGGCCTTGAGCATGAGGTTCCTGGGAGAGCAGCCGCCTCCACGGGTGTGAAGTGCGGGCCCCCTACTCTCACGGCTGGAGCCCGTGTGCACCCCTAAGTCATCCCGTGGGCCTGCCCAGTGGGTCACGTGGTCAGTGAGTCTCTTCTGTGTGTTTGTAGTAGTCTTGGATTATAAATTCCCTGGTTGAAGGCGGGGAGACGATTGATTTCGATTTGGCGGTTTGCTTTCAAGGAGTTTAAAGTCAACAGGGGAGGTAAAAGAAACGTAAAAAAAAAAAAGAAAGAAAGAAAGAAAAGAACCGTGGCTGCAATAGCAGTGGAAAAAGGAATGGCAAGAGATTGTGAGGCTGAATAGTAATGAAAATGGCCTGAGGGCATTCTGGTGGTGATGGCGGTGCTCATCTTACTGAGGTTTTCCTGTGTGCGGGTATAGTTTGAGAGTTTCGTCACTGGCATGATTATCTCATTTGATCCTTATGACGGCCCAAGAAGCAGCCTATTTTTTAATCTTCTCTAAAGATGTGACTCAGAACTTAAGAGGCTGGATCTTAACAGCAACTGTGTGACATTTCGCTTCAACCGAAAGGCATGGAAGGGGTGATACCCTGGCAGGCAGAGGAAACGGTATCCTATTCATTGGCCTCCCAGAACGTTTCCTTGCCTTCCTAAGAGGCATCTCAAATGGTGAAACACTGGCTTGCTTCCAGGTAGGTTTAACTGGCATAGGCTGGCAGAGAGAGAGTGCCCGAGGCCTGCGGGAACCAGCCCCAGAGCTGGTGGCCAGTCTGGCTTAGCAAGGTGGCCACTGTGGGCTCCCGAAGGCAGCCGGCCTTCCCCTTGGCCTGTGTCAGTTTCTAGTTCTGTCCTCTGCAGCAGCACGTCCAAAAGCGTGCTGTTGCATGAAGCATTAGCCCCATTCTTCTCCCCTGCAAGAAAAGAACCCCATGATGAAATTACTTTGGGCCACACTGTACGCTGAATTTCCCCTCGGAACGTCACTGAGCACGTTAGCCTTTAGAAGGTTTTCGAAGCCCTGTAGTAAAGAATTGTTGAACACACCATCCTGCCTGTATTTAACCACAACACCCTCTTTTCAAGTAATGTGAACGGTATCTCATGTTTTAATGGAACTACTATGTGCCAGTCACCTTTTTTTAAATTTTTTTTAATGTTTATCTATTTTGGGGAGTCGGGGTGGGGGCGGGCACAGACTCCGAAGCAGGCTCTGGGCTTCGAGCTGTCAACACAGAGCCCGATGTGGGGCTTGAACTCACGAACGGTGAGATCATGACCTGAGCTGAAGTCGGACGCTCAACCGACCGAGCCACCCAGGTGCCCCTGTGCCGGTCATCTTTCTAAGTGCTTTACTTGTTTTCACACCTATAGTCCTCATGGCAACCGTCTGAGCATCATGAGGAGCTGAGGCACAGAGCAGTGACCAAGACGTGAAGCTAGTAAGCCAGTGAGCAGGGGTTCAGGTCCAGCCCCCGGCCTCAAACCCCCACTCCTAACCTCCCCCGCAACCTACTTTGGACAGTGTCGCCCTGTCGCCCAGAATGTTTTCTGCCCACCCATCGTTGAGTGCGATGGGAAACCCACAGACCAAACCATGCATCCTATCCTCAGATGATACTCAAAAATAAAGAGGAAGAATAGTTTTGGTTTTGATGATTGAGATTTTTTATTAAATAGTATTCATTTGTTCAGAAACAAAAGAATAGAAATTATCGTTTTAAAGTAAGAGGAATTGGGATAAAACTAGCCCTGGAACCTCCTAGAAGCCGCCTTAAGTGATGTTCCTGCTGCCTGGAGTGCCGCCCACCCATCCTTCTCCCCTCTTCTCTGGGGACAAGTATACATTCAGCATATAAAATCAAAGGGTGGCATCTTCTTTCTGAAGCCTCACTTGCCCACCGGACATGGAATGCAAGTTTTACAGATGTCACCTGACTTCTTACAGTCACCAGTTATGACTTAATTGAGACATTAAAAAGAAGAGAGTTGAGAATTCATCTTGGATCCTGGCTGAGGTAGAGATTTTCTTGAAAGCTCGAATACCTCATGGAATACGAACTCCAGAAGAGGCCCCAAGAGGCTGTCCAAACTTCCTGCATCTCATCCCTTCCTGAAAGTTAAGATTCTGTCCCAACTTAAAAAACTCAGATAAGAGTTGGGGGTGGGGGGCAGGTGGCATGCTTGGCTGGCTCAGTCGGTAGAGCATATAACTCTGTCTCGGGGTTGTGAGTTCAAGGCCCGCACTGGGCACGGGAGCCTACTTTAAAAAAAAAAAAAAGAAAAGGGTTCAAATAAGGGGATTACATAGGCTTCTGTAGTTCACTTCACCAGTATTTATGAATCCTTAGGGTTGAAAGATGTTTCCTTATTCAGAGTAAATCCTTCCTGTCAGTAGAAACTCGTGTTGTCTCATCAGGGCCTTGACAGCAAGAGAAGGCACTGAAGAAAGACAGCATGTCATTGCCATCCCTTCAGCTGCCGTGTCGCAACCTTTGCGCGTCCCCTTCCTTCTCTGGTCCCTCTCTGGGCTCCCATTATTGCTGTGCAGTGTTAAAGGCAAGTGGTCCAGCTGAGTGGACTCCTGACTAAACATGAACAGAGAAAGGCCCTCTCGTTTTACGTGGTCACCCTTGACTTTCACACCCCACTTACGCCTTGACCTTTTTGTCTGCCGATGCTGTCTCTGATCTGTGGCTGTAAGCACAAGTCTAGAAGCTCTGAGTTAAAAGCCACTTCTGAGAGGTCCCTTTGGTTTTCTAGGCTACTTTGGGCGTAGAAAGGATAGGGACATGGGACAATAAGAAACCAAAAATGTCTTTTCAGAGCCAGGCAGAAGATACTTGGAAAATTGGCATCACAGCGAAGTAGCTAAGACATCGCAGCCAAAGGGTCATGAGGTCATGGGTGGCGCCAGGACCTCTCATCCATTGTCTGTGGATATGGAAATTTGCTAGCATTTTGGAGAGGAATCAGTAACACCTTGGAAAGCCACACACGCACAAACCCAAGGAAAACTCGTTGTCCTTGAATAAGAAAACAGATAAATGAGGACCTATGCATGAAATGGAGTGCGGTTCACCAGTGAAAATGAACAATCCAAAATTCTCTTAACGCCAGAGATCAGTCTCACAAACATAGCGCGAAGTCTGAAGACCAAGTCAGGGATCTAAAAAACTTGTTCTAAAAAGATAGATACGGTAGAATTCTTTCAGCACGGTAGGCTGCCGGGATGCTGTCTGTCCATATGTATAGTAGTTACAGATTCATACACAGCGAAATGAAGAAACTGGAATGGTACACACGCACCATCTCCAGGATTGCGGTTGCTTTCGGGGATGAAGGGAGAAAGCAAATTTGGTAAAATACTAGCGTCTGTTAAATCTGGATGCCTGGCGCATCCAGGCGTTTTAGTGTTTCCTCTGCTTTTCCGTACGTTTGAAGCATGTGACTTTCTTTTGTCATCCTGAGAGTTCAGATTGAATCGTTAGGCACTGACTCTGTGAAGTCCTTTGAGCTTAAGGGCTCCAGTGCCAGGTGACATAAGTAATGAGAAAGGGGTCTCCAATCTCAGTAACATTTCTTCTTCTGCCCTCTTAGGAATGTTCCTGGCTGATATCATTGAGAAATACTTTGTGTCCCCAACCCTATTCCGAGTCATCCGGTTGGCCCGTATTGGGCGCATCTTGCGTCTGATCAAAGGCGCCAAAGGGATCCGTACCCTGCTCTTTGCCTTAATGATGTCCTTGCCTGCTCTGTTCAACATTGGCCTTCTGCTCTTCCTGGTCATGTTCATCTTCTCCATCTTTGGGATGTCCAATTTCGCATACGTGAAGCACGAGGCCGGCATCGACGACATGTTCAACTTTGAGACATTTGGCAACAGCATGATCTGCCTGTTTCAGATCACGACGTCGGCCGGTTGGGATGGCCTCCTGCTGCCCATCCTGAACCGCCCCCCTGACTGCAGCCTGGATAAGGAGCACCCGGGGAGTGGCTTCAAGGGAGACTGCGGGAACCCCTCGGTGGGCATCTTCTTCTTCGTAAGCTACATCATCATCTCCTTCCTGATTGTTGTGAACATGTACATCGCCATCATCTTGGAGAACTTCAGTGTGGCCACAGAGGAGAGCGCGGACCCTCTGAGCGAGGACGACTTTGAGACCTTCTACGAGATCTGGGAGAAGTTTGACCCCGACGCCACCCAGTTCATCGAGTACTGTAAGCTGGCAGACTTTGCAGACGCCTTGGAGCACCCTCTCCGAGTGCCCAAGCCGAACACCATCGAGCTCATTGCCATGGATCTGCCGATGGTCAGCGGGGATCGCATCCACTGCTTGGACATCCTTTTTGCCTTCACCAAGCGGGTCCTGGGGGACAGCGGGGAGTTGGACATCCTCCGGCAGCAGATGGAGGAGCGGTTCGTGGCATCCAATCCTTCCAAAGTGTCTTACGAGCCCATCACGACCACACTGCGGCGCAAGCAGGAGGAGGTGTCGGCGGTGGTCCTGCAGCGCGCCTACCGGGGACATTTAGCAAGACGGGGTTTCGTTTGCAAAAAGACCACTTCCAATAAGCTGGAGAACGGAGGCACACACCGGGAGAAAAAAGAGAGCACCCCGTCCACAGCCTCCCTCCCGTCCTATGACAGTGTAACGAAACCCGAGAAGGAGAAGCAACAACGGGCAGAGGAAGGAAGAAGGGAAAGAGCCAAAAGACAAAAAGAGGTCAGAGAATCCAAGTGTTAGAGGAAAGCAAAAATTAAACATTGTACAGATGTAAAACTTGCAAGCGAAAGATTGTTTACAAACTTCCTGAGTATTATCAATGCAGGACAGCTGTGGAGACACTTTAACCCGAAGATCTATACCAAACGTAGTCGGCTTACCATGTAACACGGTTGCATCTTGAGCAGTGACCTGCCGAGGGCAAAGGACCCTGCTCCCTGGACTCACAGATTTTCTAATGCTTGGGCAGGTGGTTACTGCATGTTCCACATCAGTCAATGCAACTTAGGACAAAACCAACAGGATACGAAAACCAGAGGAGAGGCTGCCGGGACCAGCATATTTCCGTTGCAGCCAAATGGATTTTATTTTTTCATTTTGGTGATTCTCAGAAGCAGAAAGCATCACTTTAAAAGTTTGTTTGTTCGTGCAAACTGTATTTGCATTCTTACATTAGTTAAGCTAAGCAGCACACAGGAAACACACACACACACACACACACACACACACTCCCATCTAGCCCGTGTCATTTAATTGTCCGTTTCTTTGACATAAACCGCATCTTCTCCACATGGCTTCACGTGGTTTGGAGATGGGTGGGGGAAAACAATCAGGTTTCTTCAGGCTGAGGAGGACTTGCTCAGGCCGATTCCAAACATTGTGCTCGTTCACTGCGTAGAAATGATTTGCATGATGGCATGCCGTGATCAGAAGTCATGCATGAGAACCATACACCACAGGACACTACTAACCCTGTCCCCTGCCCTGGGTCAGCCTTTGGACAGGACCCAGCCCTGCACCGTTCACTGTATTCGGAGAACAAAATGGTAAGCGTTCCATTCCACTGCAATTCCTTACGAATTCGTAGAAGTCTTTCATACATCTTCTGGGTAGGGAAACACAACCAACCGATTGACCCCACCACCACTACCAACAGAAAACAGACCCAGTCCAACAAGCAGATGGATCCGTTGTGTGTATATGTTTAACAGACATCTCTAACATACAGCCATTGTTGCCCATTTTGAAAGACGAACTATTTAATGCTGCTCGGTGTCCCGTCCACGGGGAAACTTCGATCTTGAATGGCTTTGTATTAATAATGTCACTGTAAAACCAAATCCTAGGGCTAAAAACAAAAATCAAAACAACAACAACAAAACCCAGTTCATTTGTATTGCAATATTTATGATGATTGTTTAGCCTTCATGCTGGAGAACTGACACTTGTTTGAGGCAGAGGTACAAGCGCTGTTCAAAGTGGCATGGCATCTCTAGGGGGTAATTTGGGGAACTTAAGCTTTCACGGGGGGGGGTCTGGGGTGCTCGCTTCAGGTAGTATCACGCCCTGCTGCACTGTGGCTCTCTCCAGGCTTGGGTCCAGCCGGAGAGGGGTTCGGATATCCTGAACGGGCCTCTCCCTCGGCAGAGGGGTTGTCACAAGCTCACACACTGCATGATGTCTCTTGTCTCCATCTCGTCTTTCCACCAAGCAGGGCTTCCCTTACTTGCAGAGGCGGGTGAGGGCGGCCGCGCTGGGGCTAACGGCTGTGGTTCCTTTCACGTTCTAGCGAACACATAGTCACTGGTGGGACCCGAGGTAGAGATGAACCAAGCCCACGTGGTTTCTTTATCGCACCGATTCTCATGAGAAAGCGATTCAGTACTAATTCCTAAGCTGTCGCAGCTTCCCCCACCCAGCACGTCCCCTTTCTAGCCCGTCGTGCCGCCTGCTTAGCGACCTGCCCGCTGTCATCGGAGGGTGGCTCTGGGGGGAGCGTCCTGTCTTCCGTCCCCTCTCCCGCTTTAGGGAAGACGGTTTTTAGTCCAGGGGCTTCTCATCCGAGGACTAGATCTCAAAGCCAGGATGCTGCAGTTGAGTGTCTCAGGAAGTCGATACAAAGAATGAGGAGAGACTTTAGCATGCGAACTAAACCAAACTAAAATTCCTCCTGCACCATAAAGTAGGGGGGGGGGCTAAAGACCCCCCGCGATCAGACACACCAGTCTGCCTTGTAGCAGAAGCACTCGGTGGGACCGCACCACCCACCCGACTAGTTTTGCATACGACCAACACAGCGAGGCAGTAAGCCGAGCTTTCTGTCTTCTTGGACCATTAGAAACTCTGCCCGGCTCTCCTAAGCCTGCTTCTGCGGCCTCCTCCGTAGAACTTTCGTACTACACGCGACCCAGGTTGGAAAAGCATTTCTCTCAGTGACCCTGCTAACCGCTAGGACGAATGTATAGTAACATGTACAGGCGACGTCGTCAACAGCACAAAACAGAAGCTGACGTGTGTGGCTATTCTTTTTAAGAGAATTATAAATACTGTAATATATCATTTTATTTTATCGGCATGCCTTTTTGTAAATACAAATTAACAACTTATTAAATAGGAAATGGCTTCTGGCTTATGCCATTGTCATGTTTATTTTTATTTTTTATACTTTTCTTTCTTCTTAGAACTTAGATGCTGTCAGCCAATGTACATCCCCAAACCAGACAGACAGACAAAAAATTTTTTATTGCTAATGGTCTTTTCCAAAACAACAAAAAAATATATATATTTTTGTTCCAATGTGCAATAAATTCTAACCACTTCTATGCAAGATTTGGCTACACTTCATCATTGTTCTTAGGTCTTGAGATGGGCAACAGAGCTAGAAGACCCCGCTCGGTACCCCAAGTGCTCGTGCTAGTGATGTCATTAAGCTACTAGAGCATATTAATGAGATTTTTTCCAAGATCTGCCCTTTTCCCTCCCCCAGACCCCCAGCAGCTATCTCCTCAGTAACACACACATGGGCCTTGGTATCTGACACCCATCAGCCAGCTTCACAGGGAAGAAGCCACCTCCACTCTTAACTTGATGTTTCAACTTTTGTTTTTGTTTTTTTTAACTTTTCCTACCTTCTTGTCCCTCGCCCGCCGCCCCTCCGCCCACTCGCTCACTCACTCTCTCACTCACTCACCCGCCCTGCTCCACACTTCTTCGGTAGTAAGTGACACCATCACCAGCAGTCTACACCCGCAGTTAACAGGCACTGAACTGAAAGAACCAGTGAGGACGTTTTTGTACGCCCTCGCCGGGTGGGTAAGTGGCAACGCTTTGCCAAATATTAACGAAGCCAATCAAAAAGCAGCAGCAGCCACAGTATCACTGCACATATATATATATAGATATATAAATATAATATAAATATTTATTTTTTGTAGCCAGGTCCTTGGTGCAGTATTTATACTCCACAATTCACCTTTAAAAAAGGACAAAAAGCAAAAAGACGTGTGATGCTGTTAACTGAAAATGCAGAGCCAAAGCCACTGAGCAGCAGCTGACACGGTTGCTGGTTTGTGTGTGCAAAACACCTTCCCCTCTTCTTCCCTTAACCTCCTTGCTGCTCAGGCTGAGGAGACTCCGTAATTCAGAGGGCGAGAGCAGCGAAACCTTCCCGAGTCAACGTGACCTACTCCCACTTCTCTCAATGAGCCACTTTCGGTGTCGGAAGTTGACTGGGGAGAAGCAAGCAGAAGCTCCCGGTCAAAGCCCCCGGAACGACAGTGCCCGGAGTTCTTTTCTTTTCCGCCGCAACCAGTGTAAATTTGTAAAAGACCACTAGTGAAGATGAGTGCATTAGTGAACGCATGGAGGCCAACACTGCTCTAAATGAGACGTGATACAGAGTACATCACTGCTATAAGCCAAGAGGAAACAAAATAAAAATGACCCTTTTTACTGTACAAGGGAAGCCTGTCTTGGTGTCCGTCTGTTGCTTGACTCTCCCGATTCTTGAGTCCTGGGAGGGGTCTGGGAATTGGGACCTTAGCACGTGTGGGGAAAGGAGGGGAACGGAAGGGAGAGAGATCAGGGTCTCTCGCTAAGTTCTGGCTGAGAAGTAGAGATTGGAGAGAAAAGCAAGGTCCTGCCCACCAACCCCCCACCGCCCCCCCC